TTTTTTTTTTTTTTTTTTTTTTTTTTTTGGTCTTTTTGAGACACAATCTTGCTATGCAGTGCAGGCTGGCCTTGAGCTCACTTTGTAGCCCAGGCTGGTCTCAAACTCATGACCCTCCTGCCTCAGCCTCCCCAGTGCTGCGATTACAGGCGTGTGCCCCGGCACCCGGCTCTGCCTTTCTTCTAAGGAGGGAACATTTCTGAGAGGCTGTGAGAACAGTACATTGCCGCAGAGAAAGCAGGAAAGAGAACATGAGGGTCCTGCCAACAAAATAATTCAGCAGCTAACACTTCTGAACTGCTTAAAAAATACGACACAAGAAGTGATAAATACGTTCAAAAAATAAATACAAATATTCTACACATCAAGTTAACTATACTCATGATCACTATTACAGTTAAACATTTCTATAATAGAATTTTCATGTTTTATCACAGTTCCATTTTTATCGTGAATACCAATGATACTGTTCTGACACGTTAGCGTGTACTGGGCACTTATTTATGACCTGGTGTAGTAATACATTTTAATACTCTTCCAATTAAAATTTACCTACTTTGACAGAAGAATTATTTTCTTTTAGAACAAAAATTTTTGGAATTTATTTTTAAGCTATAATTAGAACTGTCTGAGGGGCGGCGCTGTAAGGACTATCTCTATTGCAAAGACACTGCTATTTAACGAAGCAAGGTCACGTCGACCTAGCACCAAATGCACTGACAACTGGGCACTATTCCAGTGAACTTGTTCTAGGAGAAGGGTCAGGAGTCCCCAGTCTCACTTTAAACTTTACACACCAGTGATCTGCACAGGTGGCAGCTGTACTTTCTAATACCGCCGAGGAGGTCGTGGTTACCGGACTCCTGTCTTCTCACGTAATGATTCACAGAGCCAGAAGATTTATTGCACTTGCTCTAAGAATTTCCCCCAGCACCCCACCCCACAGCTGCTCCCTACGCTGTGTATCCCACTCCTTTCCAAATGCCATCTCATTAATGAAAAGCACATTTAATTACAGTGCTTATAGTTTGGGCAGTGAGCTTTCCCAAATAGTCAACTGGTTAACAAATGAAAGCTTGGAATCTCCTTTCCTTGAGAGTGCCAGGATATTTAAAAGGGGAAAAAAATGTCATTTTCACTGATGTCTTTGATGGCCAGAGAGAAGGGGGATGGGCAAATGACAAATTTTAACCTATTTAATCTAAGAGAAAATGAGCAGGTTGGCAAATTTTGTGTTTGTTTCACTATTGCTTGGCTATTTAGGAATCAGATAAGAGGTAGCAACCCCAGGAATTGCTGACGTCTCGAACACTGGCGTGTGGCGCGATGGGACAGTGTCAGTCATCATGGCGCAGCTGACGTAGCCCCCTCACAGGGACGAGGAGTGGTGTCCAGGCTCCTGAGCTCTCAGAGCAGGGTGGGGCCTTTGGTGGGCCTGCTGCCTGACAGCAGGGGCTGGCTGCCCATCGCCCTGGCGTGGGGCTCCTGGGCCTTGATGGAAAGCAGTGCTGGGGCAGAGAGGTGATGGAACGCTGCCCTTTGTTGGTGGAAGTTGTTGATGTAACTGGCAATCAAAAGAGTGATTTCGAGAATCTAAAACAAGAAAAATAGAATTGTTAAGCTCCTGAGAAGGCCTCACCAATTCCAAGGGAGCAAAGGGTTAGCCGTGGGTGATCTCCGTGTACAACTGCCCAACCGACCAGAGTCCCCTTCTGCCTCGCTCGGAGAGTGAATTCTTTCCTGCCTGCACCATCAAGGCACTGCCAGATTTTTCCCATTAATTAAAGCACCAGAGGGGCTGGGGATTTAGCTCAGCGGCAAAAGCGCCTGCCTGGCAAGCGCAAAGTCGTGAGTTCAGTTCCTGGTACTGGAGAAAAAAAAAAAAAAAAAAAAATTAAAGCACCAGAAAGAGTAAATTTCAAAAGCAATTAGATTTTGTGGCAATATTTGGAAATGTGATGGTCAGTGTACAACTCAACCAATTATCTTAAAGTCATGTTTGTGAATATGTATGAATTAAGACATTCAGTGTGTTACATGAGTTATTTATTTAAACAGAAATATTGAATATCCTATGACCTTTTGATCACGGCTAACCATCTTTACTTATGCATAGAACTGATTAGGGAAGAGAGCTGTCATATTTTAAAAAACCTTCCAGATTCTGAAGAAATTGTCTCTTTATTTGACAATTTTGTGATAACTTTTAGGAAAATCAGTTTCTCATTCTTTTTACTAAGTTAGCATTACATGTTAGAAATGCAGCCTTTTTATTTGTTGCTTTTATTTCAAGGCATTAAAACTTTATAATTTGTTTAAAGTAGTTAAGGAACAAATATGTTTTAATTATAAAAGTCTGTTCTTCCTCTAATGAGTTCATAAAGCAAATAAGCCCAAGTAGGTAAGATAATGTGTATAAAGTGCCTGACTAACAATAAGTCTGCGGCCATTTCTTTTGGACATTTTATATACCAGGCATAGGGCTAAGTTACAATAAATAGCATTTCTCAGATGAAAGAAACCAAGATAAAGTTAGCCAGGATTTGGATCCATGGTTGTTAATTTAGAAGTAACATCTTTTTTCTCATCTGGAAAAGCCTTTGATTAATAAATGTTTTGGTAAGAAAAAAATAGTACAAAAAAGTTGGCAGAAAGGGTTCCACTCACCTTGGGTTTTGCCATGGCAAAAAGTAATTTCTCTGTTGGTTTGTCTTTTGAATGTGAATTGTTAATGACTACCATAAAATCATCTTGATAACCTCCAAAGGTCATTAGACTTTTGTATGCATAGCTGATTAACAATCTCTTCAAAGAAAAGAAAAAGTAATTATGTTATATGTTCTGTACATTTAAAGAAAAATGCGAAATGATTAATAACATACATCTCCAGTGAAATGCCTGATGTTAATTAGTTACAGCATAATGCAAGAAACATTTTCTAAAATCACATCTATTATGACCTAAAGTAAACAGTGGTGGGGCTAACTGCGTATTTTCTTTACAATTAAATTTTGATTCTGAAAAAACTCACTGCAGAAAAAACAAGAACTATGAGAAAATTAAAAACACCAATATTCCAGAAGCCAGCAGAAATTAACTGTTAATGTATTTGTATATGTTCTTTCACAGAGCTCTCTTTATATATCGGATCAAGCTATATGAAATTGATACTTTTATGGTCAGTACTGTATGTCAAAACTGGCAAATCTACATGGTTCACCCTGACAGGTAGATTTTGAGAGATATGAACAGGAATAGTACCATGAATACTGCTGCTTGGCAATGTAGTTTTTTAAGTTAACAGCAAATTGTAAACATCTTTTCGTGACAACAAAGCAACTGCATAGCATTTTAAATTGCTTTATAAACAATCCTCTATTCAATCAGTCTCCTAGTACAGCATCTTTAAACCATTTTTACTTGTTACTTCATAGTTCACATAATTATTTCTTTGGTTGTGAAACCAAACAAAAATTGCCTAAGGAGTAAAGACAACTAGGGGAATTTTTCCCACCTCTCCTCTAAGGGGTGTCATACCATTCACATTCTCAGTCTCGCTAACACTGGATATCATCATTCTTTTAAATCTCTGCAACCTAATTGGGAAAAAGTGCAATCTGTTTTAAATTGCATTTATTTATTAGTGAAATTTAACACTTTAAAATATATATATATTGAATATTTGTATTTCTTCCTTTGTGAACTGTCTTGGCCCACTTATCTGCTAGTGTATTTATAATTTTTTTTTTTTTGGTGGTGGTGGTGGGGATTGAACCCAGGACCTTGCATTTGCTAAGCACATGTGCTACAACTGTGCTATACCCTCAGTCCCAGTCCCACAGTTTCCGTCTTTTATGTTTCTTATTTTATAAGAGATCTATATATTAAAGATATGCAACAAATATTTTTCCCAATGTGTTTCTAAAACCGTTTAAAACATGTAATTTACAGTTGCGCAGCCTGAAAGTAAAGGAGTCTACGCATGGAATGATCGGTTGCAGAACCGAGCGCACTGCTCCCGCCCTGGAGCTGTCAGAGCGACGGCGCCCCAGTGTCTACCTCCCGGCCTGTAGTTCACCGCCTTGGATCTAGGGAACTGCTTACTTAACTAGTGGTACTCCAGACTGGTGCATAGCTCGTTGTTGACTTCAAGTCACTGATTCTATAATCTGTCTTCAAGTTATCCACCCAAGAACTACAAAGTATTTGGGAAACACAAACTCTGAAAATTTTTAAGTACTTTCAAGGGGGAACAGTAACTGTAACACTAAAGGATAGTTTTGTTTCCAAACCGTTTTCAGTCATCTCTGACTATGGCCAAGGGTAAGGAGAGCCCACTACAGCTCTTCTGTACAGCTCTGAGGTCACCAATTTCTAGCCACTAGACTAAAAAAAAAAAAAGAAAAAAGGAATAAAATGTTTTCTAACTAATCTGACACAAAAGCTGGCCATGGCAGTGCATGCTGGTAATTCCAGCACTCAGAGGCTGAGGTAGAAGGATCGCTGTGAGTTCTAGGCCAGCCTGAGCTACATAGTGAGTTTAAGGGCAGCCTGAATTACAGAGCAAGACCCTGTCTCAAAAAGAAAAACAAAAAACAAAAAAACGCTGACACACAAATAGGAAAGACAATGTGAATTCAAATAAATAAATGAACACATAAAAAGAATAGTTTGATTTAATTTGCACTTATGTGAAAGGCTCTAAGGGTCTAGTTTTGTATATATCCAAGTGAACTGGCAAGTGATGTTATGGAAAATTATAGAAATTATGTTGTAGAAGCCTTAGTGAAATTAAAACTTTGATCATTAAAGTTTCTATTTAATGGTATCTTAAATATTTCCATTTTATATAGGAAGCAATTATCCTAACACTTTAAAAATATTCATGTTACCAATACAACCACGATGGTAATTTAACCATAGGATCTTGACATTTTTCCCATACAGAACAGGTAATCTATCTTACCTTATTTTAAAAGTTTTAATTGTAATCATAATTGTATCTGTAAAATGGCACTCAATTAGATATGTTATCTGAGTATCAGAAAAATAAGATTAAGGTATCATTACTTTCTGTTTATGATACTAAGCAGAAGAAATAGTGGATTCAATGCAAACTTTTAGGGCTTAATCTTACCATGGAGTTAAATTCTAAGATGCTTAAGCCATTTTCATTGATAGCCAGCCATATGAAAGTATTTCCAAGTGATGATGGCGTTATGGGCTAGGAAGAGATGGAAATATACTGTATTATAAATGCTAAGACAAATTACAGAATTATTTTTCAGTCTAAATGCCAGGGAACACCATTATACAGCAACACAATCACAATATTAAAAAAAATCCCTTGGGAAGGAGGCTGTTTGATATCCTGGACAGAGCAGAGAATTTGATTTTAGGAGACCTGATTTTGTTTTATGTTTGGTATCAGAAATCTAACTCAGGACCTTGAATTTGCCAGGCAGGCTCCTGTACCACTGAGCTATATTCATAGCCCACAGACCTGACTTTGAAACCCAAATCTGCCCCTTAGTAATCCGTGCACTTGGACAAGGTACTTAATTTCCTTAAGGCTGAATTTCTTCATCTTTAACACGCAAACAATAATTTTTGCTATTTATTTTTGTTCAAGAGGTTAATAGTTGACAAAGATTTTAAGGTTTCCATGCTGGCCAAAGTCCTAATGAATCAAAATATATTGATGTACTTTGTATGATGTGTAGCGCTACTACAATGTAAAGGATTACTGTAATTGTACACTTTTTCTAAAAGTTTATTAAATGTGATACTCAATGTCTAACAAAAATAGATTACAAAGAGAATATGAAGCTGTGATCATAGTAATGAGAAGTATTAAAATTTCTACCAAACTCTTTATTGCAAAAGCAATGACATTATATCAATAAAGTCTCCCACCACTAAAACCAATTAAAAATCCATGAATGTTTCTGAGCAGTCCGTAACTATTTTATTCAGTTAACAATTGAACTTCTAACCAAAACTTAACTGTGTCTCTTAAATCTTATAAAAGAATGTCCAGACAGGAGATGAGGAACTGGAACGAATTTTGTGTTACTTGTTTTCATAAGTAAAACTTACGAGAATCTCATATTTTTTTTAAAAACCACCTTTATCACTCTGTCTACCAAGTACTGATTTACAAATATAGGCAAGCACTAAACAAGGTGCCTTCGACCTGTCTATTGACTGGTGAATAAATGTGTGTGTGTGTAGTTGAATGCTATATGATCTTAAAAGAAAGGAAATTTTGACACATGCTACATCATGAATGAACCTTCAAGACATCATCCTAAGTGAAACAAATAACCACAGGACAAATACTTGTAATTCGTCATACATGCGCTTCATAGAAGGGTGATTCCTGGGGGCTGGGGGTTGAGAGAGCATGGAAAGTTAGTGTTGAATGGATTTAGACTTTCAGGTTGGGGAGATAAAAGTGTTCTAGAGGTGGATGGTGGTGATGGTTGCACAGCAAGGTGAGTGCACAGAACTGTCCACATAAAAACAGTTACGATGGTAAATTTTATGTTACTTATATTTCAACGCATACACACACACACACACGCACACACATACCAGAGACACCATTAAGCAAAGGATGTGTGTCCCTGTTATAAAGAAAAGTGCTAGTCATGCAATCCAAAAGAGTATCATTATCATAATAAGAGTTTGTGCAAGCAGCCAGAAGACATAGTTCTCCCCATATTGCCCAGGCTGGTCTCAAACTCCTGGGCTCAAGCAATCCTCCTGCCTCTGCCTCTCAAATAGATGGATGTCACCAAACCTGACTTATTCCTTAGATAATATTTAGGGCTGGGGATTTAGCTCAGTGGCAAAGCGCCTGCCTGGCAAGTGCAAGGTCGTGAGTTTGATTCCTGGTACCAGAAGGAAAACAAAAATAAAATAAGATAATATTTTTAAATATATATACTCAACTCCATGCAAATACATTAATTGCGAAAATATTTAAGAATACTAACACTGTCATCTTTCTGTTAACTTAGTATGCAGCTTCTTCCAGTTCCAGTAGCAAAAGTAATCACTTACCCAACAATAAACCATTCATAGAATGAGAGTTAGGAGGATCCTTAGATTTGACCTTTCCAGTCCACACTGTTTATTAATAGATGAGAGCACTGAGGGCTGGAGAGGTTACCTAACTTGCCTAAAGTTGCAGACTATTCAGCAAATGTTTGTTAAGTGATAACTGTGTGCAAAAGTACTATGGTGGGCCCCAGAGGAGGACCGTAGGATCACTCTGGAGGAGTCTGCAACTTATTATGAAGACAAAAGAAATACACAGAAAAAATACAGTGCAGGACAGGATGTATCTTAAGCATCTATGAGGGTCCAAAGTGGCACGGTTCAATAGAAAGAAGAAGAATTCTATTTTTTTTATTTTAAAAAAAAGAAAAAAACCAGTGATATAAAATTTCAAAACAAGATTGTAGGAGAGTAACAATGGTTATTCTGTTGTGTATTGTTATCTTCAAAGTAGTTGTTGATACAACAAGATATAGGCATGAAAAATTGGTCAGAAAATATAGGCATAAACCTTTCTTTTCAAAGAACTAATAGCAGTTAGCAGTATAACTATCGTGTGTGTGTGTGTGTGTGTGTGTGTGTGTGTGTATATACATGTATTTTCCTTTCCCCTTCCTTCTTTCCCCCATTCCAGTTTCTTTCCTTTTGAATAGTTTCTTCCCATTTTACAATATCTATTGTACATTTCAGATCTTATTTATTCTTTCAGCTTCTCACACTAGGGAGACAACAGGATATTTACACATGTGAGTCTGATTTATTTCACTTATGATTATGGTCTTAAGTTGCATCCATTTCCCTATAAAAGTCTCAAGTTCATCCTTCTTTATAGCTGAGTAGTACTCCATTGTATAAAAATACCACATCTCTCTTAATCCATTCCTTGGATGATGACATTTGGGTTGCGTCCAAGATTCAGCTGTGACAAACTGTGCTGCTATAATCATGGCAGAAGAGGAATTTTAAAAGCACATTTTGGGGCTGGAGGTGTGGCTCTGTGCTAGAGTACGTGCTTAGCATGTGTGGGGCCCTGGGCTCAACCCCTAGGACCCGGAAAGAAAAAAGGCACAGTTTTTCCTTTGGGGAAAGGGCTGGCCACCTCCCATGCAGGCTTCGTAGCTTTCCCCCCTGTTTCTGCAGCACGCTTGTGTCACTCCACAGATATTTACCATCGAGTGCTTTGTTTATAGATGTCGCAATGCTGGACGACACTAAAAGACACCATCCTGGAAATTTGGTGCAATTCATCGGAAACCTGGGGTTTATGTTTCTCTAGAGTTAGCTCAGAGCTTGCCAAACAGGACTCAGTAAATACTTACTAAATCAATGAGCCAATGAGTGAGAGTGTAAACGAGGGACTGCATAAATGAATGAAGAGGAGAAAGCAGTGCCCAGCAGTTGTTTATCGTCTCCTGACCGGAGTAACAAGTCCGGGAAATGGTTCAGGGTGCAGAAAAGTTGAGCAGAGGGGAAGACAGGGAGAAACCTTGCCCTCTCTAACATTCTTTCATTTTTTTCTTTAAATTTGGGGCATTTCTTCATTTTTTATAAAGCCCAGTATATTAATCCCAGGGTAAATCTGGCCAACTATGTACCCGAAGTTTTTACTATGTATCTCCCTCTTGTTCTTTCTTACTTTTGCAAAAAACAACTTGGCACCAAAGAATGGCCACTTCCGGGCTACTGTCAAATAAATGCGCACACAGTCCACACCGCTGCGTCCCCGCAGGGCCATCCACCTGGTTGACAGTCGTTGGTAAAGCTGCCTAAAAAGAAAGAACAACAAAAATACAAAAGCCAAAGCATAAGCGGTGTGTCATCCTCCCAAGACAGAGCTCCCCACGGGCCAGTTCTAGGCCTACGTGTGCTACGTCAACACCCGCCCACCCCGCATCTTTCCGGAGCGTTTCTTTCACCAAATTCTTTTACTATCACATTCTTAGCATAACCAAGGTATCCCCAGCAGGTACGTTTAAAAAACCTGAATAGCTAACATCGAACCCTAGTGTAAATTAGTTTAAAGGTAATTTCTCCTGAGAATATTGTAATTGATCAAGAAGTAAAGCCCACTTGGCGGAATTTTAGGTATTACCACTCCTGGCTTAGAGAAATGTTGGATGCAGAGAAAACGTGTCAAACGAAATTACAGAGCCAGCCACTCACACCACACAGACAAAAGATTGTCCTTAAAAGTTTCTATTTTGGAAAACCCATAGCAAACTGGATTTACCTCTACCTTTAAAATTCAATCAGCATTTCTTTAGATCCTCTACATACTGAAACTGCAAGTTAATTTAACTCAAACTTTAAACAGTTTCATGTAAGAAGATAACTTATTTTTTATTTTAATTTGTCTATAATAGAATATCCTATGAGATAATTTGCTTCTGATAAATGCTTATAAGATTAAACATCTTATCAGTCAGTTTTTTTCTTATTATCAGGACTAACTTGGACAAGCAGGAATAAGATCAAATGAAAAGCAGATCTAAATCAAGGGAATGCTCTTTTATTTTTTTTTTTTTATTATTTTTTTTGTTTTGTTTTGTTTTGGTTTTTCTCCGGTACCGGGAACCGAACTCATGACCTTGCGCTTGCCAGGCAGGCGCTTTTGCTGCTGAGCTAAATTCCCAGCTCCGGGAATGCTCTTTTAATTAAAAACATTTTTTAGTCAGTGCAGAATGTATATATGTTTCAAAATATAATGTCATGCATGACAAGCTTCTGGGCACAACTGAAATAAAGATGGCTATCAGCTCTGTGGGCCCATCAATATTAAAAAATTTTGAGAAAACTGTAATTTTTTGTTTTTGTTCCGGTACCGGGAATCGAACTCACGACCTTGCGCTTGCCAGGCAGGCGCTATGCCGCTGAGCTAAATTGCCGGCCCAAAACTGTAATTTTTTAACCTTTAAAATTAGAACAGAAAAATCTCAGGACAACAACAAAACTAGTGTGATTGCAACAAAGAGTTAAAAAATATTTCCTTACCTTAACTGTTCTTCAGTACAGCTATCTCTATACCTTTTAGGATAAAATTTTTCTATGACTTGCTTTAGCGTTTGATTTGCTTTGCACTGGTTGGTAACATGCCCTGCTGGAGTTGAGAAAGGTCTTTCAAAATCTCCAATCTCCACCTGATTGGAAATCCAAAAAAGAAAATGTAGGATATTGAAAGAGCTTTGAAAAGGAAAATCAGTTTTAGCTTTCTTTAAAAGCATGTAACACATAAATCCATTTTTCATCATTCTGTGATTATGACATTTATAACCATACGTAAGAACTATTAATCTAAATTTCGTTTGAATTCTAACTTTGGGGGAAAAAGCTGTTAACGTAAACATTTCAGTACGATTTCTACATTAACCTCCCGGGATTACTCTTAGCATCCAGTAATAGTTGCTGAAGGACATTGCTGTATTATTTCCTATGGCACAGGATAATTTTTCATTTCAAGGTACTGTTTTAATTGCTAATAATAAAGTGAAATAGAGGTTAAAAAAAAGGCAAAGAAGGTGATAAACCTGTAAGAAATTTTGAAACAGTTGGAATTTTAAGGGCCTCTATCTACTGAGTGTAGCAAGAGCAAGAATCATATTATCATTTTTTTTTACTGTATCAGCCACTCATTCTACTAGTCTATTACTCCTAGGAATGGAGCCCTTCATTCCCTTCTCTTCCTTGATGAAAGAATGTTCGATCCTTATCTCTGCTTATAGACCATGGAGATGCCATTCTTCTCCACCCATGCTTGGGTGTGGTGGTGCATGTCTGTAACCCCAGCACTTGGGGAGCTGAGGCAGGAGGATCACTGTGAGTTTGAGCGCAGCCTGGGATACACAGGAGTTTAAGGCCAGCTTGGACTACACAGGGAGACCTTGTCGTTAAAAAATGCACGATTTTATAGAGAATTTGTGCCTAGAATAACAATTGGCAGGGAACTGTTCCTAATCCTATGACCAAGAAAATGAGTTCCCTGTTCCTTTTCAGTTTTTTTATCAATGAGGTCAGGACACCGATACTTTTATGTAAAACTTTACAGAAGGACATTTGACCCTCTAGGCAGGATTCAGGGAAGTTTCTTGGAGTAAATGACTCCTACAATAAACATGAAAGGATAAAACAAAGTTAATAGGTGAAGGGACAGGGTAGAACATCCCAGGCAGAAGAGATAGACTGACCAGAAGAACATAAGAAGAAAAACCCAGTGTACACATACGAGCAGAAAGTTCATGGCACAGTTCAGATTGAGGACGTCTGTGTTTGTAAATGAGAGACTGAGAGCTAGATTCACATTTCTGCTGTATCTCCATCTCAGTCACTAGTGCTGTGTAAACAAATGAATGTTCGCGGAGAACTGTCTCCAGGTCTAGGCCTTAAGGGAACTGCAGACTCCGTTCTTTGTTTCTCTCAACCAGTATTCCGGGAGAAGCATAAGCAGTCACATGAAGAGCGCATGTGTGGATGTTCCAGCTGACGGTCCCAGCACAAGTCCCACGCACAGCCAGCATCAACTGCGAGACTGACGCTCTGGCCCTCAGACTGTGCCAGCAGACGCCAGGTGAAGTGAGGAGTTGCTCTCTCACCTTCCTCCCCTCTGCTCTGAAGAGACTGAGTCTTGGGGTCATTTGTTACGCAGCCATGGCTACCTGGAAAAACCCCTCTACCCTCTGTGGGAAAGATAAATCTGTGAAGAACACAGACACCTGGCAGGACAGCAGGCAGGATGTGATAGTGTCACATTCGATAATGGTCATATTCAGCAGTGGACGGGGGAAGAATATCTAAGGCGTGGTGGCCAGTGGGACAGGGGCGAGGGAGGGAAGGGTCAGTGGGGATCCCTGGATTTGAACCTCACCGGGACAGTGAGTGAGACAGCATCACAAGGAAGATACAGACTGGGAAGGAAGAGAAGGGAAGGTGACCAACGTAGTTTTCAGCATATTGCTTTTAAGGAGCTCATTACGGAAGTAAGAACTGGAGGGGGAGACTTAGGAATCACTGGCGTAGGTGGTGGATAAAATAAACAAGATGGATGAGATTCTTGGGATGGTGTGGAGAGTACAGCCAGGGACAGAAGCCCCTGGGGGACCGAAGTGTTTGTCTGGACGGCGTATCACAGTGTTGCCTTAACACTTTTCCCGTAATCGTCCTATGCAGAGGCTTGGAGTGCTGGAACCGTGAGCTGCCTCGTGTAACCACCCTCCTCTTCTTCTTGGGCAATAAAGACCTTCAGTGAAGCTGGCCACAGAGCCACCCAGCTTAAACTGCATCCCCGGGCCTCCCTTTGTAGGTGCCTGAATCCTGTCCTGACCGGAGGCCTCCATGGAAGTGTTTTAGGTAACTTCAAAGAAATACTCCCAAAGGCAGGAAAGCATGGCTTTCCTCAGCCCTTCCCCTGTCTGGAGGCCTGGAGCATTGATGTAACAGCTGGAGCTCTGGCAGACCTCCTGAAACACGAGGTCGACACCCCGGGGACGATAGAACGGGCACCCTAGAGATAAGCCCGTGGTTCCAGTGACTTTGTAGTGGAGCCAGGAAGACCACCCCCGGCCTCAGTGGGAGATGAGCATAGTTCTGTCTGATTAAATCACTGTCAATTTCCGCATGTGTGTTTACTGAAATCTGAACTTAACCCTAATGGATACAACAGGTAAATAAAAGAAAGTGCTCTTGTCTTTTCAAGGACTCATCCTTGTTGGGTTACGGAACAGTTTCTGTACGGCGTTCTCAGCCCCACGGCTAAACACTCAGATCGCTTTATTAAATGCAAAGCCTGGACCTGTACTTTCAAGAATTAAGAAACAAAGTTCTCCTTATGGAATACTGTCTCATTTTATGTCATCACCACTGTCAGGAGTTTACAATCCAACTGTAATTATAATGCCTGCAAATTTTAAGGTGATGGCCATAGCACAAAATCAATTTAAAGAATTACTGAAGGTCTACTGTTTTATTGCAGTGAATTCAGTGGAGAAATCAGTATCTTCTCATCTGCATGTATCACTCTACATAGCACGGGGGTTACCTGAGCTAAGAGAGCTGCCATTTCTAAGGCCAGGTCCTTGTTCAGAGGGAAAAGGCCATTTATTATTTGCTCATTGGTCTGATACATTAACAGCAACTTTTCTCTATCCGTCTCTCCGTGAGCTTGCATTGAGAAATACAGTCTGTAAAAGAAAAAAAAAAGGAAATTTCTCATTAAATGATACTTTTTTTTTTTCTCACTTGCTAGGGATTGAACCAATGCCTTCGCACCAGCAAGGCAAGTGCTTTATTACTGAGCTTCACCACCAGCCCCCAGTGGCGTTTTCAAAGAGGAAGAGTAAGGATAAATTCCGAGGACTGAGGTAGGGTTGGTTGTTTTAACATAATTCTCTTAAGCAATACAGCAAAAAGGAAAAACAACAATATACTGGCTCTGAAGTGGAGGAATCCTTTTATGTTGTTTTCTATGCCCTAAAGTACCAAATCCTTAGGTGTTCCTGAGGAAGGGCCTAATACACAGAGTGAGACTAAATTTTCCCTTGCATAAGGAATATGCACATTGTAACCATTCATGTCAATGGCCTGTGTAAGCCAAATTTTCAAAACACAATCTCCCCTGAATACCTCAGACATATCAGGGAGTAAGAAATGAAAGTTTTAATTCAAAATCAACCCCAAGTCAACATCAAATAAAGAGGAAAAGCAGCGAGGTTTTCTATAGGAATCTAAAAGATAATATATGTTTGTCTATATGTGTTTTGACTCTTTGGTCACAGGATACACAGCTTTGGGAGCTCAAAAATAGTTTACATGTTCTCATTCTTTGTTTTTTTTTGGTCTTTTTGAGACAGGGTCTCACTATGCTGTTCAGGCTGGCCTTGAGCTCACTTTGCAGCCCAGGCTGGTCTCGAAATCGCAATGATCCTCCTGCCTCAGCCTCCCAAGTCATGGGATTACAGGCGTGCGCCACCACGCCCGGCTTCATATTCTCATTCTTACTTGTTAAAACACGACCTGGCTTTGTTTGTCTTGACATGGGATCTCACATTGTTACTCGAGTTGGTCTTGAACTTCTGGGCTTAAGAGATCCTCCTGTCTCAGTCTCCCAAGTAGCTGGGACTATAGGTACATGCCACCATGCCTGGTTTATGACATGGCTTTTGTATGCCTGTACGTTCTTCATCAAACTAGCGGCCCTCATATTCTTTGTGTGGTTTATGTGTGAGACTCACAGGGGTGTGGTTTTGGACATGGGCGCTGTAACCACTAAAATGCTGTGACAAACAGAGCTGGTAAGCTCTGACACACATGAATACGGTCACGACATGACCCTCAGGGGCCGGGAAAGAGACATTTAGACCTAGTGCTTTTTAGGTGTGCACCCACTAGCCTATTTAGCTCTTTTCTCCCTACCCACTTGAAGGAGGGGACACCCCGTTAGTTACAGTATCTCTTCTAGAAATTATCTCAAATCTCCAGAAAGGAAAAGGCAGCCAGTCTCAATCTGGGCAAACAAGGTGGGCGTACTCTGAAAAGCTCCTCCGACCCCACAGTTGTGATCACTCTTCCTGCAAGCCCAACTTCTGAACTGAAGTAGTTTCCTAGAAACAATCAGCCCTAAGCCCTGATTTCACCTTTGCATGAAGACAAATGAGGGGGGACTAATTCAGCTGCTAGGACAGCATATCTGGACAATGGATACAGATAACAGACTTAAAACGGCATGAGGAAGGGATATGAAACAGAGAGAAGGCGTAACATGAAAGTGCTCCTTTGTGGGTTCCCTTCCACTTTTATACGTAGCTGATCTCCCCCACTTAAAGTTAGGAATTCTTTACCCCTCTAATCCCCTGGGGTGCAGCCAAGTGTTCTCTCTGGAATGCCAGATGTAGAAGAACCACCAAATGTATAAATGGCTCCTGGAAAGAAGAGCTAAGGTGCGTTTTCCATCATTTCCAGCACGTCAGCAAGACTGAACCCGTGGAGGGAAACTGAAGCACCTTGATTGAAAAAGAGAAAACCATCGTGGACAGCTGCAGGTCAGCAAGACTGGACGCAGGAATCTGTGGCTCAGATCCCAAGGCAACAGCATGGGCTCCGACAGCTGTACGGGGCGTGGGGAGCGTGTGGAGAAGAACGAGTTACGGAAATGGCAGGAACGTGCACAATCCCACCCAGAGAGCCTGCGCGGGAAAGGCACCCGAGGAAGGTGGTCTGCGCCTCTCACAGTAAGACCAGCTTCCCCGTTTTCTTCGTACTGGGTAGCTACACCCTTAGCTATCTGCTCAGAAGTTACTAGCCTATGAAATCTTCCTCCATGTTGCTACAATACCTTGTACATTCGCACTCATGCTAACAGCAAGTATCTGCCCTCTGAGGCCAGACTCCTCATGGCTCCGCTACACTCCTTCCATGGTATTAACCATATTACGAAGGTTTCATGTCCGCTTCTCAACAGGAACTGCAAGGGCATAAAGGGAGGGAAATTCTATTTGCCTTTGAATTCCCAGGGCTTCAGACAAGGCCTACCAGTGATAGACTACACAAATGGGTAAATGAATGGTACGTAAAAATTGCTAAATATAAGAATTATTTGGCAAAAAGCCTGAAGCATCCCATTTCTATAGCTTTGGCTAAGTGACAATCTGACTCTCTAAGATTTAGCTACCTCAACTACAAAGTGGAAATAATGATAGCACCTACCTGACAGAGGTGTTATTAAGGTTCTATGAGATATTGCATACAACAAGGCCTGGTGTGGGATAAATGTTCAATAAATGTAGGTGATTTCTTATGAGAAGCACTGTCCTTTTCTTCTTTTTTCTTTTTTTTTCTTGTTTTTCTTTATTTAAGCAGGATCTTGCTGTACTACCCAGGCTGGCCTTGAACTTGTGGTCCTCCTGCCTCAGCCTCCTGCATAGCTAAGCTTACTGGCATGCACCAGAGTCCATCTTAGCCATAGCATTCTTCTTCAGAGATGTTTAGAATCACAACAGAGCTTCCTTTCTGGAATTCTTTCAATGTGAATATAGTTAAAAGAAATGGGACAAACTAGATGCCTGTCAGGATCCTTCTGACTTAGGAGCCAAAGGACACGAGGCCCTTACACTTGGCCAAAGATGGCAGAGATAGGAACGCTGAACTATGTTCCTGAAAATGACAACTACCAAGCACTACGGAGCATAATCTTTGACTTTCAAGGAGGGGGAAGGAAGAGTTGTTCCCTACAGGGAGGGACGCTTACCAGTTTTGTTTTGTTAAAAACATGTTTGACTTTTGCAACTTCAAACACACAGTAAGAAATCAAGCAAAACAAGCTTTCATATGAATAAAAGCTCAAACACTAGTTTCCAGATGGTTGTCTATGAAATCAAGTTCAAAATCCATTAATTAGCTCTTTAACCCCTGAATCTACATAATTAAAATTTTGTGACTTGCTAAATATAAATTTAAAATTCCATAGTAAGGAGAACTGGTTATTTTGGTTTTGTTTGTTACAGTGCTGTTTGGCAGATGAAAAGTCAGGTCCTCGGCTGCATGACAGGTCACAGCCAGTCCCCCGCCCGCCCCCCGTGTCACTGGAAATTTTTGTCTAAGCGACTTGCACACATACGCAAAGCACAGTTACATTCAGATAGGCAGCATTTTCTCGTAGCTGTGGCTCTGCAGCCATTTCAGACTTCTGCTAAAAATTAAACCTCTTAGTTGAGCTGGGGTTTTTTTTTTTTAGTTTAACGATTTTATCCTAAAGTTTATTTATTTTTATAGCAAGGCAATCTTCATTGTGTTACTCATACCGCTCTCGGTACTTTCTAGTGACGTGAGACTCAGAGCATTATTCTTATCCGTATCTGTCACACTACCTTTGTCCATTTCATGCAGGTTTAACTTGGGTGCCAACTGTGGCCATCATAACCAGAATTAGCATGTATTAAGCATTCACAAGGCGCAGATTATTACAAATTGTCTTAGCTATGAACGTTGTTCCATCTGAGGAAAGCAAATGAGAATTGCTGAACCTCTTCTACCTAAAAAGATGTGGTCAGGCCCAGAAGCAGGCTCCTGCCCCAAACGGGGTGATCAACAGACAGGGACGACAGAAAGGACTTTCGGAGCAGTGTTGCTCAAAACTTAGCAGTGTATGAATTATCTGGAGAGCTGCTGGAACAGACTCCTGGGTTTGGTCCCGAAGTTCTGACAGCAGGTCTGAAAGAGGCCTCGTAACTGCATACTTTGCATTTCTAACGTATTTCCATGTGATCCTGAAGCTCCTGGTCTAGGGCCAACACTTCCAGAACTACGCTCCAGCACTAACCAGAACTAAAACTATCATCTGGGTGGGCCCCATCTTCCAGCCAGTTACTCTTGCCAGTCTTGAAAAGGCCACAGGTGAAGGCGGCATTAACGGAAACAGGTTCCCGAGGAGCATATCCAAGTTCCATTATCTGACGTCGCTTATCTCTAGCAATGTGCGGTTTAAAACCTTAGATACCAAAACGCTATAGTCATCTTCTGGCTACTCAGAGTGTTGGCAAACATCACAGTTCACAAGCTCCTGAAGAGAGAGGCTCCACTGGTCCATAACGACCACTGGTTCGGACTAAAGGAGTCCGTTCAAACAGAAGGTGGCCCTTAGTGGCTGACTGTGAGAGGGGTGGCCCAAAATGCAAAGGTACCATTTTAATCTAACCATTCTCCTGCTGATGAATGTGTTAGCTACTGCCCCTCAATGCTTCACTGTTATAAAACATGGCAAAGAAGATATTGGGCCATGTTGGAATATTCTGCCCACTTATGTGAGTATGTCTGTGGCACAGAGTATCAGAAAAAAAAAAAAAAATGAACTGGATCAGAGGATATTAAGCTTTTTACATTATACAGTGCCCTCACTGCTTTCATCCCAATTTTAATTCTATGAACATCTTCCAAAGTAGTTCTCTAAAAGAATTTAGTACTCTGCCAATATTTCCACCAGACTCTTGGCCTGGTATTTTATAGATTTTTAAAAATTTATGTGGTGTAAGAGGCAAATAAAACCAGCAAACTATATTTTGGTGAAGTTAATGTGAACTGGTCCACTAAGTGTTTATTAAGCACCATCGTCTGCTAGTACATAGAAGAAAATATTTAAAAAAAGAAAGACAATCTGGTTTGTGATCATATGCGTAAGTGCATTATAATTTAACTGTTGAAGAGGTCCATGATCCAGCTCCACGGGCCTTTTCTCAACTTTAAAATGCAGCTTCCTTTTACAGGGAACGTCCTGGAACACAAGTTAGCCCCTCTCTCTGACCTTGACATAAACAATACTTCCCAAAAGAAGTCTGGTGGAATCTCCTGTCCAGATCAGGCTCTGTGTTAAATACACTCTCATCGTACCACACTCTTCCTTCAGAGAAGTTAAGGTGTAATTATATAGTCGTTAGGGCGGGTGTATGATTAACAGCCCTCTGCCTCACTAACCTGAAAATTCCAAAAGCTCAAGAACTGAGACTGTCTGTTCTTATTATTTCCATTTTATCCAAACCATTTAGCTAAGTGACTGGCTTATAGATGAAGCTCAATAGATACAGAAAGATAAAAAGAGAATATGAAAGAATGAGAATTAGAAACAAAATTGTATGTATTTGTCTCTTCTTCTAGAAGTAAATAAATATGTAAGTACTATAAACAGTATCCAACGCTATTCCCTAGGAGACTAAATTGTGGGCGCATGATTTGAACACAGCTCTATACTCAGGCTCCGACATTTGGCCACAGCATTACACACCTGCTTTTGTAAGTCAGACGAACAGTTCTTGTACCTTCACACTTCCCAGGCTGCTGTTCCTTGGATGCCTGTTCCCATTTGGAAATAATGTCACAAATCTAGAAGGGAAGCGGAAAAAGGAGATGCACAAGGCTTTCAAAACCAACACTTTTGGGAGACAAGTGTGTCTGTAGACCGACAATTCTCAATTAATATGATCAAACCAAATGCACTCAAGCCTTTTGTCTCCAGCTTCTGTGCAGCTCTGGGTGTGGGACTTAACTGGGGATTTAGCTCAGCGGCACAGCACCTGATTGGCAAGTGTGAGGTCGTGAGTTCGATTCCCGGTACCGGAAAAAAACAAACAAAAAAACCCCAAAAGTTGTTATTTCACGATTTATCCTTTTGGGCACACATTAACTTTGGACGCTGGCCATGAATTTTTTTACTCAAAAAAGAATCTTAATGCAGACTGCATGAGACTGGAACCAAGAAGATTCCAGGAATTTTTTTCATGACTTGGTCACTGATGAAGCACTTTTTCCACCTCCTGAGTTTATACAAATTGGAATAACTGAAAATACACAAAAGAAATCTGAAATACGATGCAGGCAAAAGCTCTACACTCAGTTCTTGCTGTTTGCTTTCAAGTAACTCTTTTCCCTCTCTAGACTTCCATTTCCTCACTTGCCAAATAAGCCGACGGTTTCTTGGGGGTCTCTTGCACTAACTATGATCCCACAGCTCTAATCGGTTCCCTCACTTGATGGAGTGCTCGTAAACATTTATTATGGTCAGCGCTAGCTGATGTTACCACTAGCTGATGTTACCAGTGAAGAGTCTGTTCTTTCCTAAGCAAAACTGAAGTTCTTTGTATGCAGAAGATATTTCTGGTCCTTCTTTTGTTCCCCACTGGGTCTAGTCCAGCTCCTGGGACCCTGAAAATAGTTCAGTAATATTGCTGAATGGGAGGGGAAAAATGAAAAGCCATTTTGTCACAGCCTCCTCCCTTCATTTTTATCATGTTCCTGGTGGAGTATCAATACCCCTAGGATTCCCTCTCCTCTCACACGGAGTACGTGCGCGTGCAGAGTACCTATTCGATTTTTCTGGCTTCACCAAAGCATTGCAATTTCTTTCTTTTGATGGAGGTTAGGTTGCTTAACTTTTTTGAAAAACTCCTGAACTCAACTTTTTGTAAAAATTAAACAGCTGCTCTGCTGCTCGCCGAGTTTGGCTCCTCAAAAGAACTTGGGGTCACCTTGATGCTTCCTTGAAGGCAGTGCTCTAGGTCTCTGCCAGAAGGGTCGTCGGTGAACAGTGCAAATCCCGACAGCGCCGGCTTCCTCATCCCTGTGTCCTGGTTCAGAGTATTCAGAAACTCTTCCACTGTGGTAGACGCATCAAACCCCACGACCTAGGCAGAAATAACAACGCAGATCTCTTCATGAAATGCATACAAACCTTACACTGACATGTCACAGGGGAACGGGACAGACTGATGCACGATAAATAACAACACGGACGGCAGTTTTCTGGGTGCCGTAACGTTGTGTCCCAAAGCTCCACTGGAGAAGCTGAACAAGGCTACCTCCCTCGTTACCTTGCTGGAAGAATTCAGAGATCTCAGCTTCAGCCAACAGACACAAAATCAAAAGAGAAAGATCACTTGCCAGCTATAAATATCATCCAGAGATATTATACTTACCACTAGGAGCAAACCAAGAAAACAATATGCAGTCTTTAAGTAAATAAACAATACGTGCGTTTAACAAATGAATGCTTTTATGTGTTTAAGGTTTGTTTCTTTAATAGGCAGTTAAGTATGTGACTTCTGTGATAAAAGGCTTATGGCTACAAAGACTAACTGCTAATTTTTGAACATGTTTCCTCCAGTTAATAAGCAAGATCCAGATCTGATAGTTGGGAGGGCCTTGGGGAGTTTTCCCAGATAATTCTTGAGATTTGGCGATTTTAAAAGATTACAACTGTATGTACCCGGTGGGACTAATCATTTGCTTACCTAGCAGGTACACAGACTGGGGGAAAACTTGAATACAGTGTTTTTTGTTTTCTCCATCAGAATTATACTGATAGTGAAACTCATCCCTCACTTGGTTCAACGTGGATTTGTTCTTAGTGTGAAGGCTTTTTAGTAAGACTTTCAAAACTGAGCTGTTTGTCTGCTTTTGGTTTTTTGACAGTTTTGCTGTGTAGTCCAGGCTGGCCTTGAACTTGTGATCTTCCTGCCTCAGCCTCCTGAGCGCTGGGATTCTAGGTTTGCACCATCATACCTGGACGGTGAGTAAAGACTCACTTGTTTTGACAGAAGATTGAATTGCAGCTTTGTCACTGCCAGCTGCTAACCAGATGGGGAGTCTCATTTCTGTATTCTACTGCCGTTACCGCAGGGTTTGTGTCCAAGCTTGGTTCTGTTACGGGAGAAGGTAACCCACCTGGTATAGCCCGTTCATGAAGTGCACTGGTATACTGAAGGGCAGCGAGTGATGATAAGGGTTTCGAAGCAGGGTAGACAGAATTTCCATTCGTGAGGGTCTCGCCTCTCGGTCTCCATTCTGTTGTGTTCTTTCTACACACCGCTGGCAGTAAATGGCATATTTTCCAAATTCTGTCCTGTAATACAAAACTTAAGATAAAATCTGGGAATAAATTTAATTAAGATAATGTAATATATGTACCCATTAAGAAAGGTTCCCTTGCTGCTTATTATTACACTGTATTATGCTCATTTTGACGGTAATTTTTATTTTAAATGACAACATTAAAAGTGCCCTAACTTTTGTCAAATCCCGATTTCTTTTCTTTTGCCACAGGTTGATTCAGAAGTCTCTACCAAGCAATCTTCATGTTTTTTGCATTGTTTTGTTTTGTTTGTGGTACTGGGGATTGAACCCAGTTGCACTTTACCACTGAGCTACATCCCCAGCCCTTTTTATTTTTTATTTTGAGGCAGGGTCTAACTTGCCCAGGCTGCCCTTAAATGTGCACTCTTTTGCCTCAGCCTCTCCAGCACTTGGGATTAGAAGCCTGTGCCAGCACATCTGGCTTTCTGTGTTATTATAGTAACAAACTGGATTTAAAATTACCAGTCATTGGGCTGGGGATATAGCTCAGTGGCACAGCACCTGCCTGGCAAGTGCAAGGTCCTGAGTTCGAGTCCTGATACCAGAAAAATAAATAAATAAAAAATAAATAAAATTACCAGTCATTATACACTCAACATATAATGATTATATTAACAAAAATAAAGGCAACAATTATATAAAAAAATAAAGTAAATTTAAAAAACATGATGCAGATAGTTCTTTTGAAAAACTGGAGGCTAATGCTTCAGTAAGAAAATTACTTCAAACAAAGAATAAAAATGTTTTTCTTCTTTATGTTACAAAATATGCACTTGTTAAAAATATTATGCATTAAACAAAACCACTAGGGCAAATAATGTGAAAGGTTAGAGTATGATCTTTTTTTCTTCATTTGTAAGTAATATAAAAATTATATGTAATCTTTGTATATAAAAGCAGAGTGATAACACCTCTAAATATATTTGTATTCAAATGAGTGTTACAGCAATCACGTAGCTGTAATCACAGAGGCTCCAGACTATGCAGTGAACCGCAGGGTATTTTCCTGTTGTTTCCAAGTTGCTTTTGTCTTTACTGTGCATTTGTTTGTGTTAGTCTCAGAGTCTATTTAATTAACCTAACATCAACCTCTGGGCGGGCAAAAGTGATCGTCAGCGAGCCTTGGCTGAGTGTCACGGGTCCCATTCCAAGAAAGCTATCCTGATTGCTGGATTAGAAATGTCTTTTTTAAGAGAGCGAAAACTCTGAAGTAATTCAAATACTTACAATTGCAAAAGCCCGGGGAAGACCATAGGGAAAGTCTTCCACAAAAAAGAATTCATTGTGGAGAAAAGCAGTAAAAAGGAAAACTAAGGAAATAAAATAGTTGCTTTTATTGAATGGAAACCCACAATGCTAAGTCATTCATAGTTGAAACGCAGACTTTTCACTTGATAATGTTCTTTGCTTTTACTGCAACCCTCCACAAGAAGTTCAACATGAGAAAAGAAATACTTTTTTTTTTTTTTGGTTTTTCTCCGGTACTGGGAACCGAACTCTCGACCTTGCGCTTGCCAGGCAGGCGCTTTGCCGCTGAGCTAACTCCCCAGCCCAGAAAAGAAATACTTTCTAAGCGTCATACAAATGGTAACCGAAGGCTTTCTATACCAATATTTGTTTCACACATTCTTCTGAAAATGGAATGTTTTCAAGTACTTAGGATTTTTTGTAGACTTTCAGAGGCCATATGCACAGTTCAGTGTTCTGCACACCTGGAATCTGCATTCCTCTTTAGGTGGAGCCTGAGGAGCCACAGGAAAGGATGATGGGGAAGGAAGAGCCCAACACAGAGCGCCAGGAGCTGCCAGCCCTGGATAGAGAGACATACGGTAGGTTACAGGCCACGCCAGTCACAGCCACGCCAGGGGAGTGTGCTGACGGGGGCTGGGAGCACAACGAGCCCATCGCTGTCTCTCTTCATCCAAGAATGTGTTGTTTCTCCCATTGGCACGCGATCTCTTTAGAGCATTTATACTACATTAAAAGCACAGAAATTCTACACTGGGTAACTAGTTGTGTATATTGTCTACAACCAAGGTACCAACGCACTAATAGATGTGGTAGTATTTTTGACATCATGCTCGAGGATTAGAGACATTGCTTTTGATCGATTATGTATGTACTCATTCATTGAATATCAGTAACTTTGAGAAAGGCAGATTATAACATTGTAAAAAAAAATCATACTCAAAACCAAAATGCATCTAACCCCACCCCATATATGGCGAGTATAAAAATGTTAACAGAGATTTAGATGTGATTTTTATTCTTCCTTTGCTCTGCTTTGTATTCTCTTTCCTATATATTTTTTCCCACTAGGAAGTATGACTTCAGTAATTTTTAAAATATTACATAAACAGGGAGGAGGGAATAGGCACTGTCCCCGCCTTTGAGAAGGCTACAGCCTAGTAGGAGACAGCTACATATCGAAACAGTTAATTACCATATAACATAGTAATACCATAAATTAATTTTTTTAAGTCTAACCAATGGAAGGAATGGCTGACTGCTGGTGGAGTCAAGGAAGGGTCCACAGGGAAGATGTAGCTTGGGTGAGTGAAGTCTGCAAGTGGGAAGGAAAACAGAAGGATCCAGGTAACAGGGCTAGTGACAAGTACAGGCAGAGAACCCTCTCAGTGCAGGGTGTCCTGAAGAAGAGAGAGGACTTATTCACCATTTGCTGGAAGCAGGAGGTGAAGGAAGAGTTGCTAGCGGCATCAGCTTATGAATTTAAGCTTCAAAATTTTTCTCTTGTATAGGCCCGTTCCAGGGCCTTGTGAAGGACACTGGCACTATCAACTGTGTTTACACGGTCATTTCTTTTTTTTTTTTTTGGTTTTTCTCCAGTACCGGGAACCGAACTCACGACCTTGCACTTGCCAGGCAGGCGCTTTGCCGCTGAGCTAAATCCCCAGCCCACGGTCATGTTTTTAAAGGTGGAGATGTAATATATTTTGGACTCTGTTTTTCTTAAAGAGGATTTCTCAAATTGTGTAAACTTCAAGTCCCCTGAAATTTGGATCTAAACCTAGGAGTCCTTATGCTAGGTTAAGAAATTTCAACTTTATTCTATGTAAACAAGGAGTCAATAGGCAAAGATAAAAACAGGAGTTAGCCAGGCACAATGGGGCACACCTGTGTCCCTAGCAATCTGGAGGCTGAGGCAAGAGGATCACAAGTTCTTGTCCAGCCTGGGCAAGTTACTGACTTAACAAGACCCTGTCTCAAAATAAAAAGGGTTGAGGATATAGCTCAATGTGAAGGCCCTTAGTTCAATTCCCAGTACCACAAACAAACAAATCCCCACCCAAACAGGGGTTCATTAAAGCAAAAACTCAAGTAACTAAAAAAACACCTGAAAATATATTTAACTGTACTAACAATTATAGAAATGCAGCTCAAATCAATAGTGAAATATTATTTTTTCTCCTGGAAAGAATTTAAAGAAAGAAGTACATTGAATAGTACTGACAACATAGGAAAATTGGGCTGAAAGGCATTTAGTGGTTCTTTACATAAGATGTACTTTCAAAGACGCCTACTCCAAAGGAATTTATTATAGAGAAAATATTTGTAATAATTGGTATTAATGTGACCATTAATGTTTTGAAGAATGTTTAGGATATAAATGAAGTGATTATGTTCTGTAGTTTAAAAAAGTAAAATGTACAGTATAACTCCAGGAATATGAAAAACTGTGTCCATAAATCTATACATACTCACATTCATATAGAAACATATTGATATATAAACCAAAAGGACATAGATCAAAGTATTAATTAGCTATTTTTCCATTCACTTTTTGTATTTTAAACACCTACAATAAATGCATCATTCTTATAACCAGGAGAACAGCATCCTTTTAAATTGCATGTATAAGTATCAATGTATACCTGCAGCGGTCCTGGTTGGTTCTGCGGCTGTCTTCGTCTTGTCTGCTTAATAAGCTGACAGCAAATTTCATTCTGTAGCTCAGGATGTGTCAGACAGATCTGCAAAGCACTCTGGGCTAGAGATATGTGGTAATCGATTGCAGGGGAGTCAACTGCAGCATTTATAAAAAGCTGGCAGGTCTGAATTAAACAAAAAAGTAATAAGGTAAGAAATGATTAGAATTGTTTTACATGAATGATGCGCAATTTCTTTTTTTACTTTAAAGAGAAAATAGAAACAATAAAAACGATACAGAATTTCAAAATAGGAAATTAACAATGGTTATTTATTGCATATTATTATCTTCAAAGTAGTTGAAGATATAGGCATATAAAATTGATCAAACAATAAAAGCACTATTCCTTTGTTTTTTTTTTTTTTTGGTTTTTCTCCGGTACCGGGAACTGAACTCACGACCTTCCGCTTGCCAGGCAGGCGCTTTTGCCGCTGAGCTAAATCCCCAGCCCCAGCACTATTCCTTTGAATGAATTAACAGAAATTACTAGTGCAATTACCTTAGCTACCTTGTCCAATTTCTTTTTAGAAATAATTTTTATTTAAAATATTGGGGAGAGATACATTAAGATAATACTAATCAAAAAGTGGGTATGAGAATAGCTGACAAAGTAAATTTCAGAGCAAAAAATTCTGCCGAGATAAAGAGGGTCATCCTTCTCATGATAACGGGGTCAGTTCATCTACAGGATATAAATATTCTAGACATTTATGTTTGTGATATGGAGCTTCAAAATACTGTACATGTTCTTCTCAATATACTGGATGTTCATCTCATCCAGTATATTATTCATTTTAGCCATTGTATTTTCATCTCTAAAAGTTCCACTTGGGTCTTTTAAATACCTTCGATTACCCTCCTTAAAATGTTTATATGGGCCCTAGGGACCACCAACTCTCAGTATTCAGAGCCTCAAATAATGTCCTCCCACATTGTAAAAGATTAGTTTGTGTGGGCAATAGAAAGTCCCAGGCCATTTCTAAGATTAGGTTATAAAAACATGTGGGTTCCCTCTTGGCCACTCTTCCCTTCTCAGACGGCTAGCTGTTGCAGGAGGCAACTGTCACGTCATGAGCAGTTATAAGGAGAGAGCCATGCAGTAAGGAATGGGAGCTTCATGCAAACTGCCATGCGAGCAGGTCTGGATCCCTCTACCCTACTCAGGTTTTCAGATGCCCCAACTAACAGCTTGACAGTAACTTCCTGACTGACACCCTGAGCCAGGATCACCCAACTAAACTCTTCCAGATTCCTGGCCCTCTGAAACTGTGTGAAATACTAAGTGTTTGTTGTTGTAAGCCACTAAATGTTGGGGGAAATTTTTAAAAGAAGCAATAGATAGCTAGTACATAGAAATGTCCTTGTCTGCTATCCCCTTTATCATTTCTAGAGAGATTTCTGTGATTGCTTTTCTCATCAGATGTCATACTTAACCCAATTCTTGTATGCCTGTGATTTTTTTTTTTTTTTTTTTTTTTTTGAGACAAGGTCTCATTATGTAGTTCAGGCTGGCCTTGAACTCACTATATAACCCAGGCTGGCCTTGAACTCCCAGCAATCCTCCTACTTCAGCCTCCCAAGTGCTAGTATTACAAGCGTGTACCTCCACACCTGGCACTTGCCTGTGTGTGTGTATTTTGATTTGATGCAGACATTGTGAACTTTTTTATTGTTGGGAGCTGAATTTTTCAGTATTCTTTAAATATTTTTGACCTCTGTTCTGAGATGTAGCTAAATTACCTGCAAATAGTTTGATTCTTTCAAAGTTTCTTTTAGACTTCCATCAGGCTAGGACAGTGACCATGACCCTTTCAGAGCTTCAGTGATGCGAACAGCTTGCTGTGGTATGCGTGCCATGGGTTTGCCACTACTGGTCTAGGACTACTTTGGGCCCGTTACTCGGGCAATAATCTTGACCATTTTAATTGATGCCCAGTGTGCTAGGCAATCTCTCCCTTCTAGATGATACAAAAACAATTTCTAGCTCTGTGTGAGCTCCAGGAAGTTTTCTGCCTATTCCTTTCTGGTAGTTCTCTCTCCAGTCTTGGGTAGTTTCTGCAAAGATGTATGCTTATCAATTCTCAAAGAAAAAAATGTAGCTCAGCCTGGCCTTGATTTTTTATCAATACTGTACATGTTTGCAGTACATAAAGCACATAACACTTCATTCTTTTCTCATCCCCTCTCCCTCCATTCCCCACCCCTCCATCTCTCGATATCCTCCACATTTGAGAAAGATCTATCCCTGTTTTCTTTTATTTTGCTCTTTATTTCTATTTTGAGACTTTGATATAAGAGAAACAATGCCATACTTAAACTTGTGTGTCTGATGCTGAAGGAAATATAGCCTTTTTAACAAATGGTGCTGGGAAAACTGGCTTTCCACATGCAGAAGACTGAATGTAGACCCAGATCACTCACCATGTACTACACTAAAATTGAAACTGATCAAAGAACTAAGTGTTAACCAGAAACAATCTTCTGGAAAAGAAAATAGGTAAAACTCTTGAAGACTTAGGAGTAGGCAAGGACTTTCTAACCAGAACCCCAATTGCACAAGAAATAGTACTGAGAACAAACAAATGGGATCATATCAAATTAAAAAGTCTCTGCACAGCAAAGGAAACCATCAACACAGTGAAGAGACACTTACAGAATGGGAAAATTTTTTTGCCAGGTATTCCTCAAACAGAGAACTAATATTTAGAATATATAAAGGACTCACAAACATTAGACCCCATTCAGATCAAAAACCCAATTTTAGAAAAGGGCAACTGAAATAAATAGACACTTCACTGAAGAAGTACAGATTGCTAATAATTACCTGATAAAACATTCAACATCTCTGTTCATTAGGGAAATGCAAACTGAGGTTCTATCTTACTGCAGAAAGCATGGCGATCACCAAGAAATCAAACAATAACAATTGCTAAAGAGGCTGTAAGGAAAAAGGAACCCTTCTACACTGTTGGTAGGAATGTAGACTAGCACCAGCACTATGGAAATCAGTAGTAAGATTTCTCAAAAAAACTAAGAAAGTAGAAACTCCATTCAACCCAGCTATTACCCTTCTAGGTATCTTCCCAAGAGAGTTAAAAACATACTACGGTGATACACATATACCCATGTTTATGGCAGCACAATTCATAATAGTTAAATCTTGGAAGAACCCGTATGTTCAGCGACAGTTGAGTGGATAAAGCAGTGTGATACTTACATACAATAGAGTACTACTGTGCCATCAGAAAGGATAAATTTGAATTGCTGAAGGAAAATGGATACACTTTGTGACCACAGCGTTAAGTAAAGTAAAAAAGACACACAGGCTTAAATGTCCCATGGTTCTCTTCTATGAGAAACGCAAGCTATAAATAAAAAGCAAAAAAATACAGATAATAGGAAATAGGGAGGCAGATCTTTTGAAAAGGGAAGGAGATCAAGAGATAAAACAGGAGTGGGAAGAGGGGAGGGAAGGGAATAAAAAATTAAGATGTGTTATGTACATGTACCAACTCAATACAAGGGATATAAACATGTACAAATAATAAAAATTGAGACAATAAAGTGACACAGCTGGAGAGGGCGTTTCAAGTGATCAGTGGTTTCTAATAGACACTGAGGAAGAAGAATCTAAGGGTAGAGCTGGAGAGGAAAGAGGCTGCTGGTCCTCTCCCAATGCTGAGGCTGATGTGATGTGAAAAATCTTCCCATCTGAGAAGTGAATGGGAAATGATATTTTTTGATATCAAGTATTTCTATTGCCTAAACCACAGTCTGTTTCAGTACATCCCAAATCCTTACTCAGGAAGCATTACATGCATCTAATTTTATTTCAATAGATTTTTCCTAGTAACATTTACAGTTTCAAATATAGAGAGGATGAAAGTTTATAACCAAAGTTATTATTTTTTAAATTCAGCTCGATTATTAACTCACATATAATACTTTTACCTTAAATAACTTTATAGCCTCTGTCTGCAGAGCTTCGGAAGGCAGTGTCGTCAGAGGGGAAAGGATTCCTTCTTTGCTGTGGCACAAAGTGGGGTGTCTCCATATCTGGGAGGCTGGGAAGGAGAACAAAGGATCAGAGAATAGAGTGATGCATTTATTTCAGCTTCTCACCAAATGAACCTGCTAGAAGTTAGCTCTATCAGGCCTGGCCCATGACTGTCATCACAAAGGTCAGGGGACACTTTTGGTACTGTTATTTTATTTCAGTTGCCAGGCTATTGTGATTCTCATGCTTCTGTTTTGGATAAACTAAATGTAGAAGAGTTGGGGTTCTAATTTGCTGGCCTGCAACACGTCTAACAGGGCACTGTCATGTTGCTTAAATGCCCCTATAGGTGGTGACCTACGTAGGACATGAGAAGGAGTGGGGATACATAGAGAGCCAAGCAGGAGAAGATACAAAGATAAAGTGGAACTAGAAGTGATTCCTAAAACCAGCACTGGGCTGGGGATACAGCTCAATGGCACAGCACCTGCCTTGCAAGCGCAAAGTCCTGAGTTTGACTCCCGGTACCACGAAAAAAACAAAAAAAACTTACTCCTAAAACCAGTATTGATTAAATTCCTGCTCTGCACACTGTACATAAAATATGGTCTCTGTAAGCACAAGATAGAATCTAAACTCTCAGTGGGAACCTCTGAACTTAGAATATAACTTCAACACAGAGCTACAAATACTTTAAGGGAGCTAAGTGACAAAGAGCACTGGGAGATGATTTTAATACTAATTAGCACCTTTTGTGAGTCAGACGCTGAGCTGGAGTGGAAGGGGTCTCCCAAGGCTAGCCAGGATTTCATCAGGTTGGTAAGGTCTGCCAAGGAAGGTGGCGTTCCAAGAAGAGAGAGCAAAGGCGGGTGGCAGGATGCAGCACCTCAGGGACTGATGGCATCCCTGGAGCCTGCGAACCCCAGTGATAACTCTGGTCCACTACAGTGACAAGCTGGGTAAACAATAGGGAACTAAGACAGTCCACAAAGTGAAAACTCCAACAGGCTAAGGGACTTGGGGTTCATGTCATAAACCATAAAACATAAGCCTTTTATGCTTGTGAACTTACCAGGGTCTCCTTCTATATTTAGCAATTTGCAAACGAGTTGTTCAAATTCAGATCCAACATTTACATTGTTACTTCCAGCTGCAACAGTTAGATGATAAAGCCAAGTGTCCTTAAAATCAGAACATAGTATTAGAAATGTTAACCAAGGTACAGTTTTGATCAGTGAAGGAAAATAATTTGCATAAACAGTGCAGAGCTTTGAGACTGAAAAGAAACCACTTTCTTTAATTCTTAAATAACAATTAGAAGCCATTTAGTGAAACCTCCGAGGTGGGCTTATTTGAACTATGCTCATATTCCCTTTTCCTTATTGTTCACATTTTTATTATTTTTTATACATGCTTCTTAGAAAAACATGACAAAATTAAGAAGAGTAACACGTGTAAAGAGACTAGAATGAATACAAGCTAATATTTTTTAGCACTATAATACATTTTAGCCAATTTAAAAATCTTACTCCCAAAGCAATACACAGAGAACACTAAGGAGATCCTGAAATTTTAAAGAGGAAAATAATATCTAATTTGTTCCACTCCCCAAAGATAACTACTTGTCTTTTATTTCTTGTGGGAAAATACATAGGTAGATTCAATTTTTTCATAGTTATCATGATAAAACATATTATCATAACTTCTGAATTTTACTAACAAAGTACAAGAGTACCCTTGTTGTTAGAAATTTCTTATTTACAAGTGTTTTCTTTTTTTTTGAGACAGCATGTTGGCCTTGATGTTATTATGTAGCTCAGGCCAGCCTTGAGCTCACCATCCTCCTGCCTCAGCCTCCTGAGTAATAGGATTGTATAATCAAGTTCTAATGGCTACAGGATATTCTGTTATATAGCCATACCATATTTATTTAATAATCAAGTTCTTATTGTTAAACATTTAGATAGCTGTTAATTTCTCATTGATAAAAATAATGTGACATCTAACATCTTTTAATTAAAAGTATATCTGCTATATTTTTTTGTATCAAATATTTCAGAGATGAAATTATTTTAAAAATAACATTATAGCCGGGCATGGTGGCACATGCCTGTAATCCCATACTTCGGAGCCTGAGGCAGGACAATTTCCTTGAGTTCAAGGCCAGCTTGGTCTACATAAGTGAGTTCAAGGTCAGCCTGCATTACATAGCAAGACCATGTCTCAAAAATATTATAGCCAATAAATTTATATATAAATCTTTGGTTGCATTTACAAACATTTCTTTAGCATATATTCCTCAATACTATATATAATAAACACATAATCCAATACTTCTACATTAATTTGTGATGCCTCCTTTATGTATATATGATTATTTATACATACAATATGTAAAATAATTAATTCTCATTTATATTGAAACCAAAATTCTATTAACAATTATTCAAAAATATAAGATAGAGGCCTTTGATTTACCAAAAAACATCCAGCTGGTGAGATCCACATTTTTACACATGAATTCCTTTGTCCTCCACTGTCATGTGCTAATTTCAGCCTTGAGATGACATTTTATCAATAAGATTGAAATAACATTCCAACAAGGTTCATTTCCAAAGAGGTGAAGAATCTCTGAAAATACTGCTGAGAGTCTTTAGCAAAATTCTCTTTCTCATTTCCACAAAATTGATTTAAATATTATCCACCAATAGCTGAATATTGGCCTAAATCATTTTAAATCAACCCATATGTCTTTAAATACCTTTTCATGCTTGGATCCAATTAAGAGGTAAGTCGGACCTTGGTCTTTGGGGTGGATGACGATAGTATAATGAGTGGATAACAGACTGCGGCCGCTGGCTTCATAATCTTCATCTGAATCACAGGACCTGTCTACCTCTTCGACTTTAGCCTCCCACAGTTTGATCTGACCTAAAGGAAACTAAAGAAAATGTTAGCAATTTTTTTTTTTTTTTTTGGTACTGGGAATCAAACTCGGGACTTTGCGCTTGCCAGGCAGGTGCTTGTTCCACTGAGCTATATCCCCAGCCCAATGTCAGCAATTGCAAGGGAGTTACTCTCTAAGTCTTTTTCCACTAAAAGATTTTGTGATTCATTTTTACCTTTAAAAGGCACACTGTGTGTGTGTTACTGGGGGTTGGACCCAGGGCCTTCTCATTAAGGCACATCTCTAGCCCTGTATTTTTTTATTTTGAGACAGGGTCTCATTAAATCACTAAATTGTCCAGCCTGGGCTTGAACTTGCAATTTTCCTGTCTCAGCCTCCAAGAGTGCTGGGGTTATAGGCACATACCCCATACCCAGTGAGCACCTCTTTTTTAAAATTGAATGCTGAGAGGCAACCATATGATCAACCATCTTGCTGTGACTATAGTAACAAGCAATAAGCCCAGTTGTGGTACAAAAGAACAGTATGAATTCTGGATACTTAACTTGTAAGAAAACAGTCTTAAAACTTTTTTTTTTTTTTTTGTCTTTTTGAGACAGGGTCTCGCTATGCAGTTCAGGCTGAACTTGAGCTCACTTTGTAGCCCAGGCTGGCCTCTAACTCGCAACAATCCTCCTGCCTCAGCATCCTGAGTGCTGGGATTACAGGCGTGCACCACCACGCCCGGCCTGAAAACAATCTTAAAACTGTTCAGAGAAAAAAATAACAAAAGAAGACAATCAGTACAAAGATTAACTCTCACCCCAGATCTCAGTAAATGAGGAGTGTTCAAAGGCTATTAAAATATGCAATAGGGGTAACCTACTCGGGCACCCCTTCTGTCCCTCTCTTGGACAGAAGCTTTCTTTCTCTCAATAAATATATTCTGCTCTTAAAAAGAAATAAAGTAAACCATGCAATATATTCCAAAACAATGAGACAATGCCTGCATCTTAATCTAAGGGCAATAAAACCATTCTAGAGTGAATTTACATTACATTTTAGTGACCAAAGCAAATATATCTGCCATGTTTGATATTTATCATATCTGCTTTAAAACTTTTATCTTAAGTACATTTATTCCAGGAAAATACACAGTGTGCTTCAGACTTGTAACTTCTAACACATTTGGCCAGGTCTGCAGTTGCAGTTCTGAAAAAGTCCCTTCTAACCACGAGGATGTTTACCATCACACATTGTTAGGCTGAGTTCCAGGGCTCCGCGCTTGGACTCTCTCTCCACCTACACTCATACCCTGGGTGATTACATCCAGGGTCCTGGCTGTAATCATAGCACATCTTAGCTCTTCCCAAATGTATCACTCCAGACTCATGATCTCTGCTAGAGATTTAGTAGCACCTCAAATCTACCTTGTAAGTTCACCTCAACACCTGGCTCTACCCAGGCTTCCCCAGGTCAGTTGGTGGTAACTTTATTTTTCTAGCTGTTTAGGCCAAAACTTTGGCATCCTTGATGACCCTGTCTTCCTCCCATCCCTGAGACCTCTCCAATCAATAAATCCTGGCAGCAAGACTGCCAGGTATATCCAGATTCTGATCATATCTCAGATCTCCATCGCCACCACTAACCCTGCCATCTCTTGCCTGGATTACTGCAACAGGCTTCTGACTATGGTAGGCTCATGCTCCTTCCCTTCAGTCTGTTTCTAAATAGAAGCCAAGTGTCCCCGTTGGACATGGTAGGGCCGTGCGGCTGCTCCGCTGAAAGGGCTCTTGGACTTCTCATGTCACTCAGAGCAAAAGCTCAAGGGCGGCAGAACATGCACCCCCAGAAGGCATCTCTTTGGCATCTGGATTATTTTGAACTAAAGGCATCTTTTAAAAACACAACACACTTTGATCCTCCTCTTTTTCTTCCCAAAGGCAAGAGATCAGACTCACATATGGAAGAAATCCTCCCTATAACAAAAGGAAAATAATCTTACTGGCAAGGACAGGAAGCTGAGGCCAAGGGAAACTTGTAGGAGCAAAGCTTGTTAAACCAGCCTCATGCTGCTCCTATCCCAACTCCCTTTGCCTTGTCATATTTTTTCAACTTAACTACTCCTTGTCCAGTTCAATTTACAAGGGTTCAACTCTGCATCTTTGCTTCTTCATTTCCATAGAACGGTTCCAGTGTCAAAGGAGAATTCTATTAAATAAATTTGTATACTTTTCTCCTACAATCTGTCTTATGTTAATTTAATTCTTGGGCCAATTGAAAATCCTATGAAGGCAGAGTAAAATTGTGCCTCTTTTAAAAAGCTAGATTTTCTACTCTGACCTCTAAGATCCCATATAATTCAGACCCCATTATAGCTCTGGCCCTGTGCTCTATTATTTTCTTCCTAACAGACTCCAGTCGAGTCACACTTTTCTTGAGATTCCGCGAACACATTAGGCCCGTTCCTGCCTTGGGGCTTTCACACTTGCTGCACTCTTTGCCTGGACAGCTCTTTCCCCAGTGTGCTCCTGGATGCCCTTTTACTTCCTTCAGACCTACGGAAAATGCCAGCTTCTTAGTGAGGCCTTTCCCAGATTTCTTATAGGGAACTCAATATTATCTGCCCAATAGCTGATTAATTTAATTAATGTATTGTCCTTCAGGAGAAACATGATTTTCCACATTTAATTAATGACAATTATATACTGAGTTGTTACTGTGTGCAAAGCATTATGTTTGGCATTGAGTAAAGCATTTTCTTCTAAAGGAAAAATGTAAAATTAATTTGCTTTTTGGGGAAAAAAAAGTAGTAAGTCAAAGGCAAACTAAAAATTCAGAAAAAGTCGCATTCATACATAAAAAGTAGGATCTCGAAAATGCGATGGTGAAAACTAATTTTACTATGATAACACAACACAATACTGTCCTACTTTATTCTCTAAGCCCATCAATTCTAAGAAAATCTGTGCCTCATCCTCTGTAATATTCAGTATGGTTATTCATCTTACCAAAGGATGCACCCATGGTCCAAAAATAGCCAATGGAACTAGTGCTTTCAAGTATTTTGACCTAATAAAAAATAAAGGCACTGACCAAGATTTCAAAATTATTTTGGACACATCTACAGCACACAATAAAGTGGTCCTATACAGATTCAAATATATTCTCAAGACTTTTCCAACAATTTTAATGGATTTCTGTTATTCTATACATTCTCAATGGCTTCTTATGTGATCAACACTGTTCATTTTATTGAATCAGTTTACAATTTGGAAAGACAATGTATATTTACTATAGATACTTGGCAAGTATAGAAAGGTATTTGTGAAAAGAAGGAAAAATCACCTGTCATACTATTATTACAGAGGCTGCGCAGCATTTGGGTCTAGTTCTGATCAAGGCGCTATGCATATTTTACCTAGTGGTAACAGAGCGCGAATTAAAGCTCAGTATCCTGACCGCCCTCTTAGGAGGTCTCCTCATAACTGCAGGGCAGTAGTTGGAAACTACATTCATCAGACTTTCCTCACCCGCATGGTTCCAAGTTAGGGTTTTCCTGTACGAGAATCTGCAGTAAAGGTGAAAGAAAGGGCTTGTCTCCTGAGACACTCTGCAGCTAGATGTCTGGGTAGCTGTGAGATCCACACAGGCTTCCCAGGGAGCTCTTGAGGACTTCCTGCCACAGAGCTTTGGTCTGACATCTGCGGTGGAGGTTTCTGCCCTCTACTTCCTCAACTTTTCTAAAAGTTACAGAAAGTGTATAACTTTTCTACAAGTTATGTATGCGCCTAATTCTACATTAACGCCTTTTTTTGGGTGGCACTGCAGGTGAAACTCAGGGCTTTCACTGAGCTATATCCCCAACCTTTTAAAAAATTAATTAGTTAACTAATTTTTACTTTGAGAAATGGTCTTCCTGAGTCTCTAAGTTGCCCAGGTTGGGCTCAAACTTGCAATCCTCCTGCTTCAGCCTCCTAAAGTGCTGGGATTACAGGAGTGCACCACCACACCTGGTTTATATTAAGACTTTATAGGCGGAATGCATAGCTTCTGTTTTCCTTACTGAATCCATAGTGTTGCACTGCACTTATTTAGGAACCATGTATATGTACTCTCTTACATTCGTTCTGAAGCATTCTCGTAACAGAGGCACTGTGCTGACTCCCATCCCATAAGCAGCACTTAGAATAATGGCAAGCATTGTAAACACAGCTGATTAGAGCCAAAAGTGCGGTCTGGAGGAAGGGAATGTATTCATTGACTCACATGGCCACTGCACCAAGAAGTGTAGTCTCATTAACACTCTAATCAGTCAGAGGCTGCTATTCTGTGCAGCTCACATCATCATTTTCTGCACATTATTCACGGCCCATGTTGGCTCAGTTTTACAGTTTCAGTGACCCCAAGGTGACATGGAGCGCCCTGAGGCTGACCGGGCACACCGTTCACCTTGGCGCACATCCCATCTTTTCACTCTGAAAGTGAAGAGAAAACTCAATTCTCTGGGGCAGGAGACTAGTTTAAAATGCTTAAACAGGCTATAAATTGGCAGGTGCCAGAACAGGTAAGTGGTAACCAAAAATCCTCCTCAGGTCTTCTTTACTAGCTCACTGTTCTTTCTCTCGGCCTCACCTCATCCGGAAGAATGTGCGGAAGCACGAGAAAGTGACAGCGGGGGTGGGGGAGGAGAAGGTTTTCCCTTCATCTTAGAAGACGCGTTCGTTAGAAGTTGGTAATGCTAATAATTAAGAATCAAGACTCAAAGGACATTAGGTACGTGATTCCCTCAGTAACACATTTAACACCAAAGTTCATCCTTATCAAAAATTTCAAAATTCTACTTAGCAACAGAAGAATGAAAGTGAAAACTTTGAGCCATTAGCAAGCATAGCAAAATCCTCTAATTAATATATTAAAATGCATACATACCTTATCTTCTTGACTACGAAAATAATATAATGTCTTTCCTATGAGTGTACACCAGACTCTCTTGGAGTAGCCATGTTTTACCTGAAATTATATTTCAATGAATTACATATGTTGCTCAGAATTCTGAAAACATAAAGAATGGCTTATATTTTCTATTTGAAGTTCTTTTTGTTTCTTTGTTTTTTGTTTTTCTTCTGGTACCAGGAATCAAACTCACGACCTTGCACTTGCCAGGCAGGCGCTTTGCCACTGAGCTAAACCCCTAGCCCCTTCTATTTGAAGTTCTATAGGTATCCAGTTTGCCCGAGATATAAATAATCTTCCAAGTGGGCTATCCAAATGCTGCTTAAGGTTTACCTGTCTGTGATAGCAGGAGCTTAATATGTTTGCTTTGGAGCTCACCATTCAAAATTTAATGAAGGTTTATTGTATGCTAAGTACTATGCCCAAGATGGGTTTAAGAAAAGGTGCCAATTTCACAGAAAGTATATTTCATAGTTTACATATAAACTAAGTTTATATAGATTTCTGATAAACTTGTGTCTCTCAGTTAGCATCCCAATGTTAGAATTACAATCATGACAATCTAAAGAATTCTAATGATTTCCCTAATGTAAAAGATTCATTCATTCAAAACACTTAATGCTTTCTCCAGTGGTAATCATATGAAATTATTAAGTATTACTAAAAGCTATTACTATTCAGTGAGTACCTTCTACATGGCTGGCACTGTGTTAAGTGACAGGCAGACTTTGAACCTAGCTCTTGACTTTGACAGGTCAGAGACTGGTTTTAAGTCCTGGATAAGCAGATATAAAACAGACAAAATCTTCTGCAAGGAGCTCAGAGCTTTGTGAAGAAGATGGACAAACAGCATTACATTCTACAACTTTAAGAACACAAAGAGTTTCCATTTGTATACATTTCTGTGAAAGACATTTTGGCAAAATTTAAACTGAGAATTATCATTTGATGGCTTTTGAAGATGCTTTTTGTGAGTTCCTACTGGCTCTTGTCCTGCTCAGGCACAGGCATTGAGGATCTCTACCTAAGAGTCCAGGCTATACCCTCCATCCTGGAGAAGCACAAAGAACCCCACTCCTCCCAACAGGTAACACTGAGATAAAACACCATGACCCCAGACTTAGAGTGTAGTGCACCTGGCTGACACTGCCTTGTAACCCCACTCCCAGCAGTGGTCCTGCCAAGCCAGCCCCGCCACCGTCTTCCTTGGGGCTAGATACTCCTGCAGTGTAAGAGGGGTTCTGCTTGGACAGGCCCACTAATTGGCCCCACATTCTGTTGTCACAGTTGCCCAAGGTGGTATGAACCACGGAGATAAATGAAGCTGAGGAGGAGATAAAGTGTTTAGGGCAGGAGGAGAGAGCAGTACAACTTGAAATTTGGTAGATGAGAGGACTTCGCTGACCTTGAGTAAGGCCCTGAAGGACGCAGAGAAGCCAGGCAGATTTTGCAGGACCCTTCAGTCCCTTGTACTGAGGCCCTACATTTAAATCGAGTAGTGATTTAATTGCGTAGTAACTGTAGTAATACCTTGTGAAAAGTATAAATTATTGCCACGGTAAATTTTATAGAAGGCAAGTCACTAGTAGGAAAGACCAGGACTTGAGGTCTAACGGACCACGGCTTAAGGTAGAGTTCTGCCACATATGGATGGACTTCCTCGGGCACCAGCCTTGGCCACCTAGTTTGCTCTTAACAATTTCCTCTATCATAACAATGTGAGATTACTGTACACTTCACTGGGCTGGTGGGACGACCAAGTGCAGTGATGTACATAAAAGATAACAGCAGCTACTCAATAAATGCTTCCTTCTTCATAAAGAGAAGAAGTAAAGCACATGTTTTCTTTTTTTTTTTTTTTTTTTTTTTGGTTTTTCTCCGGTACCGGGAACCAAACTCACGACCTTGCGCTTGCCAGGCAGGCGCTTTTGCCGCTGAGCTAAATCCCCAGCCCCACATGTTTTCTTTTGAAGCCCCAAACCCAAAGCTGCCTTGAGGCTTTGGAAGCTCTGGTTTAAACAAACAACTCTGCCCCTAACAGTGGGAGGGAGTCAGAATGCTGCCTCAGCAAAAACAAAAACAAAACGTTTCATTTGGCCGGACATGTTTCAGTTTAATTAAATTTGGAAACATACTTACAGACAAATATCTGGCACCTTTCAAATATTCTTATGTAGAGTTCATTTTGGGTTTGTTTTCCTCCTTAAACAACTCCAGAAAGGAGTCTCTGAAAACGGGAGTATAATGCCTCTGCCTATAGTCAGGGTACTTCTCAAAACAACTCTTTAACATACAACAACGGCTACCTTTGGGGAGCAACAAATCAGGGAAGTTGTGCTTGGCTTCATTTTACCAGAAGAATCCTTATAAAATTTAAAGGCAATATCAAGGCTTTAGAGAACCAACTAATTGAAAGAATAATTTGTTTCACACTGCATCCATAACAAAGGTACTTCCTGTCAGTTCTGTTTTTGAAGACAGCGTATCATATCCCAACGAGCCTTTGTCAGCACAGAAAACACGAACTTCTGGTGTCTCCTGTCTTCCCCTGTGTCCTCATCCCTGTAGCGTTCTCCACCACAAATCCTGCCACCAGCCTTGCTAACTTTACTCTGGAGGTGAAACTCTCATGATTGAAGAACTAGCATTTTTTTTTTTTTTGAGTGTTTCTGATGTGCCAGATATTGTTTGAATGCACTTTGTGTGTTTAATCCTCGTTTAGTCCTCTCAGCACCCTGGGAGCGTGGCACTATTATTGCCCGCAGTTTACAGGCGAGCACTCTAAGACGCAGAGTCCATAAGAAACTATGTCAAGGTCACACAGCTGATGAGGGGCACAGCCAGAATTTGTGCCTAGGGGGCCTGGCTCCCAGCCCGTCCTGGCCTCCTTGCCACACTGTCTACACCCTTGCTCTCTTTGTGCCCAGGAACCCTTGCTGTCCCTCATTTCTGTGACCCACCTCCTCGGCCACACCCTAGTTCTTCCACGCGCACACCGCTGGGACGTGTCTCCCTCCCGCAGTGCACGTGCTGCTCCCTGGCCTTCGCCTCTTCTCACAGCCTCAACTCTCTGCACCGCCGTTCTGTGACTTTCTCCACAGCTTCTAAGTCCCCACATCCTCCCACTTTGTTCAGATCTCGCGTTTCTTCCTGGCCTCTTCTCTCTCCACCACCCTGACAGAGCGGTACAACTTGAAATTTGTATAAACTTAGTTCCATGTTTGATCACAAAGCAATTCTTGCTCTGTGGCCGTGACTCTTCCTATGTGACCACGTGATCCATCACAAGTTCCAGCGAGGCCCCAGGTAACCCTTCCACCTTCCTACCACTGCTTCTCTCCCCAGCCTCTCTCTCGTCTGGCACCAACTTTCACTCTTCTACTTTCCAACCCCGAATTCAATCAAACTGAAGACTGTCTTCCAATCATTATTTAAATTAATCCTCCCTCCTCTTTTCCCATGACCACCTCGGAGCTTTATCTTCTCATAGGAACCACTCCCCCAACTACTCTTAGCGTCCCCATCTTATCTCCCACAATTCCATTCTCCTGTCAGCAGAGCACCGTGTTAACAACGCAAACGTGCCGAGGCCCCTCGGGTGAGTTCCACTTAGCCTTCACGATGAAGACCAAGTGCCTAACAGACAAAAACAGGTCTCCACCACTGGGCCACCCCAGCCTTTTCTCCAAAGGACTTCCTAGCGCAGGGGGCACTGCTTCTAGATTATGTCTTACTCAAGCTGTCTCCTAGCCTGACGTACCTTCCTTTTCAGGCCATTTGCTGTAACGAACTCCTAAAGGTTTGGCACAAGCAAATCTCTGAGAAGTCACTGGGGATCCAACTGCCTAAGCTGTTGCTACGTAACCGCATGACACATGTCAATAACTGCACTGTTCATACATCAGGAGAAATAGGCTTATGCTTCTGCCTTCCCAATAGGTTATACAGCCATCTGAGGGTGGGACAGTGGCCTATTCATTTGCTCTCTCCCAGCACATTGTGCTGCAGGTGGTCACTGCTAGATAATTTTTTGTTTTTTTAAATAAATGAATTGCATATTGAAAATGCTCTTCCTGTGCATTAACACAAAAAGTTGCAAGACAGAATACCTAGAATAATATTAACCAAGTTCTTAAAAATCTCTCTGTATATTTCTGTACTTAAGAATAACACTGTGACAACCTGAAAAACCTTTCTCTTTTCCAAAGTATTCAAAGCTGTCCTATGGTATTTCAAACTGCAGCCTGAATGTGGCCTCGGAGTAAGTCATTCGGAATAAGCGAGGGGAGACTTTCTCTTACAAGGCTCTGAGGATGAAAGTATGGGCAGGAACAAGCGTTCACAAGCTATAGGCAGAAAATCTAATACACATGCTGTTTGTAAATCCTAACAGCATAGTCACCTAATGATCACATCGACTTGAACTCAGTTAAAATGCACTGTGGGACAGGAGGCAGAGATGTGAGCAAGGGTAATGTGAGCAGAAACGGACAGTGACATGCTGATAAAGAAAGAAGCCAGCGAACAACTAGTAGTGTGAGAAGTGGCCGACTCTTCACTGTGGGAGCATGCTAAACCCAGGGTTTGATCTATAAGGTTCTGGAAATAAGAGGAAAGTTTATTATGAATAATAGTACAAATGTGGTTTAATAAAGTAGTATTGTGTTCACTGGAAAATATATTTGCGTAATACTAGGGAGTTGCCAGACCCATTAGTAACGGAGAAAATATTTTCATAGTAATTTAATATTTCGGAGAAGACATGGTATATCTTTTTGTTGAACGCATCGGTGAATTCTTTCTTGCTTACACCATAGCTGGCTGGTCTTTGTAAATATTACTGGGGAGCATCCATCTATATTCCCACATAATTATTAAGTGTAAGTTGAATTATAGCGTAGCTCCTTTACCTCTAAATTTTTCATTTCTTTCATAATCAAAGCATGTAAGTGATGAGTGAATGATTATATGTGTGCAAATATTTTATCTCCTCAAAGTAACCAATAAGTCTTTAAAAAATTTTTAAATAGTATTAAGTGATCCTGTCCTGTATAATCTTGATCCCAACCTGTAATCCTCCCTGTAGAGGAGCTTTGCTATATTCTAGTAATTCATGGTGATTTATAATAAGCAAGTGATGTCACCTGTTGTCCATTTGCCAAATCATTTAGGTGACTTTAATAATCATATTAACTTGCTGTCTGTACCAGAGGTCTATTCACGATTTTTATATTGTATGAGGTTTTTTACTTGATTTTGACAGGTAGAATTATTTTTAATTTCATAGCAATTAACAGTCCTAATAACTGGAACTAACAATCTTCAACAACTGGGATCTCATCCTACTGAAAAGTTTCTGCACATATAAAGAAATCACTAGCAGAGTAAAAAGAAAACCCACAAACTTGGAAAAAATTTTAGCTGACTGTCCCTTGGACAAAGGTCTTCTATCTAGAACATATAAAGAATTAAAAAACATCAGCCCCCCCCCCCAAATTCAAAGACCCAATCCAAAAATGGGCATCTTAGATAAACACATACTTCTCAGATAAAGAAATACAAATGGTAAATAAATACATGAGAAAATGTTCAACATCATTAGTTATTTGAGAAATGCAAATTAAAACAACACTGAGATTTCATCTCACCCCAGTAAGAATGGCTAGCATTAAGAAATCAACCAATAACAAATGCTGGCAAGGCTGTGGAGAAATAGGAACTCTTCTGCAATGCTGGTGAAACCACTGTGGAAATCAGTTTGGAGATTCCTCAGCAAACTAGGTCTAGAGATCCCATTCAACCCAGCTATTCCCCTTCTGGGTATTTTCCCAGAGGATCAATCTTTTGTAAAAGAAAATACGGTGCTTGTGTTCAAATAAATGCTTGAAAAATAATCACTACTAGTCAACATTTACTAATTCTAAAAAAGTTAGAAAATAGAATTAAGAAATTATATAATAAAATCCCATAGACATAACCAATATATCTGAGTATATTTCCCATACAGGTATTTTTCTATAGCTACATGTAAGAAAAGCAAGATAAGAATGTAATACTTCACTCCTGACCTAAAACATACACCACAGCATATTTCTACAGCATTGAAAGGCCACACGGTAGCATTTAATATTTAAAAGGTCACACAGTAAAGTATTATATGATTGTATAAACATTTATTTAAGCTATTCCCTACCCTACTTTAAGTTAACCCCTATTTTTTCTGTATTACAAACCATGCTGTGCAATAAATATATTCTATATGTTAGTATACTAACATTAATAACTTTCAAAACTGTGTATTTCATAACATTAATTATACCTTATTATTAAAAATAGGTGAAAGAAAACATGCAGTAATGGACATATTTATACTTAGATCTTTTGCAAATTAAGACCATTTCCTAAAGATAAACTTCTTGAACTGAGACTGCTGGATCAAATGATATATTTTCAAAATAGTCTGTATTTGTTCATCCAGAACTATTTACCAACTTAACATGCAGGCCAAGACACTGCACAATTGTTTTCTATGAACAACCGTGTCATAGCATATTTCTTTCTTTTTTTTATTTTTTGAGACAGGGTCTTGCTCTGTAATTCAGGTTGGCCTTGAACTCACTATGAGCCCAGGCTGGCCTCAAATTCATGGCGATCCTACTGCCTCAGCTTCCGAAGTGTTAGGATTACAGGGATGTACCACCATTCCCAGCATCATAGCAGATTTCTTAATGTGTAACTACTAGGTTTCAAAATGTTTAAAAATATCTTTTCTTTCATAAGATTTTTAAAATGATACCATTATTTCAATTTGTACGTTACAAAATTATTGGTGATAATAAAATGGTTTTCCTGATGCTATGGATTGTTCACATTTCTTATCTCTGCTTCTCTCTCATTTGTTCTTCTCCTCCCTTGGTAAAAATTTTTACTAATCAGAAAAAGCTTGTTGAATATTAAGGTTATTAACTGGAACTCACACTTTTCAAGCACCTTTCCCAAGTTTTTCGTGTCTTTTAAAACTTTGGTTGTAAGATTTTTAGTAGAACATTATCATTTTTATGTCTTTTAATTGAGGTAAAATTGGTCACTTTTCATCTTTATGGTTTTTGCCTTGGGCATCTTTTAAAACACTTTTCCACACCCTAAAACAGTAAGAGTATGTAACACATACATTCTCTGCCACCCATTTTTCATAATCCAGGTTCCAGTTGAGGCAGGTGCCTGGGACAGTGCTATGCACACAGTTTCCTACCTTAGTGAGCAGTCCTTTCACTGCTGGTTTGCCCTCAGACTGCAGGAAGAGTGGGTTAGCAGCCTGTACTCGGAGAGCATTCTGCAACACTTTAATCCATTCTTCCAGTATATTGGGAGAATCTGCAGTCAGGTAGTACGTGTGTTTTTCAGTGGTCAGCTAGAATGGGATCAGAAAGGTAAGTGCGAAGATTTAGGATTTTAACATTTACTTCTCCCTTCCTCACACTTCCATACTTACTGTGAAAGCAAATAAGCTAAACCTGAAGTCCTAGGTTCTAAGTAAATGACTCCATAATAATTTAGAGTACATGAACTACTTTCTGAAAATTATAATTCAACTTTTATTGAATAATTTTTTTACTTTGGTTTGATACTTTTCACATATTAAATTTTGGGGTCATGATTTTATATCTTCATTCATCATGTTTTCATTTTCTCCATTAAACTTGCTACAAAGTTACTGGTTGAAATGAGGGGCAGAATGACAAGACTATAATAGTACAGTTTTAGCAACCAAAAAAAGTGAATACAAGCAAAATGAGAGGACCATGCACACAAGCACAAGAAGAGAAATTATTCTTGGAGCTAACAAGTGACCAGATATTATAAACTCACACTTTTTCGATGTGTGCAAATTGAACACACTGCAAATCTTCCAAATATTTCAGAAGCTTACAAAAGATTCTTAACAGAAATGCTCCAAGACAAAGCCTTCCCTGATTCACTCTTCTAAATCTCTGAGGATTTCTTAGTCCACTCGGAACACTGATAATGTACCTTTCTGGAAAATGGCATCCTCCACCCTCCAACGGAGCATGATAAGAAAATACGAGTCATAGAAAGCATTTCAGAAATCAAGTATTTGAATTTAAGTCACATGTACCACACTATCTCAACAGCCTTATTTTTTAATTTAATAGGTTTTGTTAAATTAAAACCTGCTGTGTGGATCAAATGGCCAATGGCTACTTCGCTGGCATGATTTGGCGGGATGGCCTTGCTACTCACCAACAGCTTTCCCACCAGGTTCAAGGATTAAAACACACACACACTCCTGAATGTATTGTTAGTAACACATTCTATTACTGTCTTACTTGGGATTCATTTATCAGATAATTCTTCCCTAAAATAGCTTCACATTTTGAGACCTGAAAATTCCTACAAGATTAAATACAGAGAAAGAAGGTCATAAAGGAAGAAAATGTAAAGTTACAGTGCCAGTTACCCAACATAAGCTTAGCTTAAATTACAGCTTTAACTAAAAAGCTATAGAGTGTTATATACCTTTAAACATCAGCCTGACTCAACACTGAATCAAGAAAACTCTGAATCAGCCAATCTCCTGTCCGGTAGTTTGGATAACTGATGACTGAGTTTTGCATACACAAATAAATAAATGTACACGTGTACCTGAACTGTTTGTTTGTTATCTCCTCTTAAAATACTGCAGGATGCACTTAGTTCAATATGGCCCTGGGGTTTTCTAATTACATCGCTCTGTATGGAAGGAAGAAAGTCACATGTAAAAAGAGTACCTGTAACAGCGACAATAAGAAATGTTTTGTATCATTAGCCCATCTACGCCAAAGATCGTAATTTTTGCAGAAAACTCATTTATGTTACATAGAAAAATTCAAGGAACAAGTATCTGAAGAAAAAATGTTATTATGTTGTCAGGGGCATTCAGAAAATGGAACAACTAGTCATTGAAAATTAACTGCATTACAGGGAAGTAAACCAGCCAGGAGTTTGATTTATAGTTTATGGAATTCAGTTCTAAATGGCAAATGGTTTCCACTCACCGGAGATTTATAGTAAAGTAATTCACCTCCTTTCAGAACAAACCACCTCCGCTTCCAAGTCTTGGCTTTCCCACTCATTTTTAATAGATAGCCAGATTTTTCCAGTTGTTCCTAATTTTTAAAAAAATTAAAGTTTCATTTTAATGGCTCAAACTAATTGATTCACTAATTCTTTTTTTTTTTTTTTTTTTGGTTTTTGGTTTTTCTCCGGTACCGGGAATCGAACTCATGACCTTGCGCTTGCCAGGCAGGCGCTATGCCTCTGAGCTAAATCCCCAGCCCCTGATTCACTAATTTTTAAAAATCTGACTGTTTACATTTTTCCCATTGTCACTGGACGAGGAGCAGGTTTTGGGGAGCTTCTGCTCGGGCTGCAAGCACTGTGTGTCTGTGGAGTAGGCATCCGGAGGGATAGCGTAGTCACTCTCAGAAGCCACGGAGCTCAGAGACACGCCTAGAAATACAAAGAAATACACCAGGTCGGCTTTTAACCCTGCGGTGGTCCAAACAGTGGCTGTTAGTTCTATGGAAAGCAACGAGTCCTAACCCATAAACCACCCTACACTAGATTTATTCTCATTCCTTGGGCCGTGAAGAGCTTTTAAGGCAGAAAGCAGAACTAAGGGATGGAGAGTATCATGTAAATATCCGAGTCAAAGGAATATAAATGATACTTTGGTTTCATTTCAACCACAGCTGTTTTTACACATATAAAATATGTGCAATAGTCTGGTAATGCAGCTTTTATTAAGCAAGAAAATAGGTATTTACAAATTGATACATAAACATGTTGCATCTTTAATGAGCATTAAAGATTTTCATAATCACATTTTAAACCACTTAATTTCTGTAATTACTTCTAAAGCAACCACATTAAAAACATGATTTCTATATTTTATGTAAGTCAAACTACTAATTTACAGATTTTTAAAATCTTTCATAAAACAGAAGCAATAAGTCTTAAAGACATAAGATGACTATTTCATTTGCCAGTAGCTATAAAGTAAAATTCAATGGAATATTTTCACAATAATTCAGTCGCCTCAATAAAAAATTACTTGTGAGTTGTATGACACATTTACAGGATGCCTATAATTGGAGAATTTGAAATAGCAAAATCAAAGATCTAAGGTCATTATTTATTATCGTATCCAGCAATTATTTAATGTTTGTCAGCAGTTAAAAGATATATTAGGGTAATGACACTCTTGTAACACTACCCTTATTTAATTCAGACAAAGTAACTTTCTCTTTCACGGTATCATTATTTTTCATGGAATAACAGAAGTTAGGGGTCTCAGAGCTTATCCTGGTTAATGTCCTCATTCTTGAAGGAGATCAAGGCCCAGAGATGAGGATTTGTTCAAAGCAAAGCAAAATAGCTAGGCAGAGGCAATGGTGGAAGGCAAATCTCAGCTCCCAGCCCTGGGTCAGTGTGCCAGGCACTGTCCGAGGTGCTAGGAATAGAGAGGACACAAAACAAACTTCAGCCCTGACAGAACATAGATTCTAGCGGAGGGAGACAGATGACAAACATTTAACGGAACAGCTACGGGAAGCACAACACACAGCCAACCAAAGTGACCACAGAGAGCCACGTGGGAGGGCAAGGATACACTTGGAATGGTGTGGTCGTGGTGGATCTCACTGTGGAAGCAGGATTTGAGCCGAGTCCTGGAGGAAGTGAGGGAGTCAGCTGCACAGACCCGTGGGGCAAGAATATCGAGTGGAGGAAACAGTAGTGTAAAGGTCCTGCTATAAAAGCATGCTGGTGTGTCTTAAGCAACAAGCTAGTACAGCAGAGCGGAGAGAAGAGTAAGGAAGAGATGAGGTCAAACAAAAAAAAATAACGAAATGCCTCATGGCTACTATGAGGAACCACCACGGTATAATACTCTGAGCAAGACTGTGACATATCCTGATTCTGTTTATGGGGGACAAAATGGATGCAAGACAACCAGCAGACACCCAAAATATTAAAACCAAGGAAGGCTTAGCAGCTCCAGTTAAAGTTGGGGGGTTTGAAAATCCCCAGGAGTCCTTGGAGATAGTTTGCAAACAAGTACACACACAACATGCATGGAAGTCTTTCCATGACACAAGAGTCATTCGGTGGGATTCTCCCTCTCAGTGACCTCTACCTGTGCATGAAATTCCTTCAAAACCCACTAGTAACCGTAGGCATGCCTCAAGTAAAGTTGTGGTTGATTCCCAGTTTAGCATTAGATTAACCAACACATTTTCTTTCTTTCTTTTTTCTTTTTCTCTTTCTTTCTTTCTTTCTTTCCTTCTGTCTGTCTGTCTGTCTGTCTTTCTTTTCTTTCTTTCTTTCTTTCTTTCTTTCTTTCTTTCTTTTCTCTCTCTCTCTCTCTCTCTCTCTCTCTCTCTCTCTCTCTCTCTCTCTCTCTTTCTTAGTGAGACAAGGTCTCACTATGAAGTTCAGGCTGGCCTTGAACTAACTTTGTAGCCCAGGCAGACCTCAAACTCACAGCAATGAATGAGGAACTCACAGCTCCTGCCTCAGCCTCCTAAGTGCTGGGATTACAGGAGTGCGCCACCATGCCCGGCCTTCCAACACATTTTCAGATGTATTTGCTGACATTTAGCAATAGAAACATTTAATTGAAATAAATCTATCCCCCAAATTACCTAAAATTCCACAAGGTAACTATAAAGAAAGAAAACCTTAGTTTGGCCAAGGATCTCTCTTTATTCCCACAAAAAGTGATCCCTCTCCTATAGACAAGGCAATAAAATAAAATTTTAAGAATATGTGGTTTGCCTGGGGTGGTGGTGCATGCCTATAATCCCAGCACTCGGGAGGCTGAGGCAGGAGATCGTCGGAGTTCGAGACCAATCTGGAGTACAAAGTGAGCTCAAGGTCAGCCTGAACTGCATAACGAGACCCTGTCTCAAAAAGACAAAAAGAAAAGAAAAGAAAAAGAATATGTGGTTTGTCTGATATCGTGGAGAATTAAGAAAAAAAAAACTATCTTGGGCCTAGGCTAATGTATCTTTCACCATGGATTTAAGCAAGTCTTTCCAGATTCTTTTTTAAAATCCTGTTATGGAGTTAAAACTCTGGGCAAACGCTCTGGGGGCATGGGTGGCCCGCTCGGCTCCGCTGTGGGCTCACCTCGCTTCAAGGCCCTGGGGCTGCCAGGCCCACTGCGGCTGCGCGGCTCGGACTCCGACGTCTGTGAGCTGCACCTGGAGCCGTCCTCATCTTCCGACGAGGAGTCATCCTGGAAAGGGCTGCTACTTATTTGGGTCGCCTTCTAAAGAAAAGCAGAGCAGCCTCTCTGTATACACCTCTAAAGTTACTTCTCTTCAGAAGTCCAATGTTTTACAGAAAGCGGCCATGGAATATGAGTTTTCGGAAGGAATACAAGAACATATTTTACCGTTGTGGAGTCATGTGGTCAAACCCCAAATTTTAATTAGCAAGGCAGTGGTCAATTAGAAAAGATTCCTGAAAACATAAGACTGTCAGTATCTGACAAGACTCATTTTAATTAGGTACTGCTGGCAAGGAAGAGGGCCCTGGCGCTGACACAGAGATCTTTATAAATTTGGAGTTTCCATTACATCATTAATAATGTTTCCTTTCAACAATTAACAGCCTGGGGCAGGGGGCGAGCAGGAATCACATGCAGTGGATACAGCCCTTTAATGCTGGGAAGAATAAATATCTTCTCCAGCGCTTTCCAGTTTTTCTTTTTTATTCTATGTTAACACAGTCTTCTGAAACTCTCTACAAAGGAGGCTGGGTCAAACGTTAAGCATGGAATCTGGAGCTCGAAGAGACAGTTTTCTGATGCGTGATGAAGAGAACCACATGTTTAACACTAATGGTGAGTTACCCCTTTTAACGTTGTGTACACTGGGGTTGTCAAGTTCTTGTATATCAGAGATGTATAGAGTCCGGACGTGGTATAGGAAAGCATGGTCGCACAATCTGGAACAGAAAACAACATTTTTTTTAAAAAAAACCCTCCTAACTAGTACATTGGCCTGTTTCTTATGAACATGAATTAGCATGACTGCTAATTAAAGAGAAATTGGACTAACACATGCGATTACTGATTATACAGTCTGCTTTATGAACTACAGCACTTCCAGGTTTACATACGGACTTTTTTTTTTACATGGTTCATTATTTTCTCAAACAGTATTTATTGGTTTATTTATTTAGGTACCAGGAATTGAACTCAGACCTCATACTTGCGAGGCAGGCACGATGCCACTGAGCTACATTCCCAGCCCCACTGTTTTCTCATATGTGCTGGTTTCCCAGGTAGGCTGTAAGCTCCTTGAGAGCAAGAACCACAGCTTTGATTTCTTCAGCCCATCCATGCACACTGAGCTGAAGAAATAAAACTAGGTACCAAGTGGCTCAATGAGCAGAACCTATGCAGACATAAATGATTCATAGTCCTATTCCTGACATGCTGTTAAAACATCATCATGATTCTTAGTCTTTATCAGATGAATCTGAAGTTGAATGGTTAGAATATAATTTCCTGAGTGGTACGAACAGATGGCGGCTGAGAAGGAAGAGAATACCAACAGTTACCTCTGAGATATGGGTGAGTGGTAGGATAGGGACCCTAGGAAAAGCTTTCTCTTAATTCCAGACAGTTTAGAGTTCTTAGGTTTTATTTTTTATAATGAGTATATACTGTTTCTGTGTAGTTTTTGGTAGAAAGGGAGAAAAAGACATTGAAATCATTATTTTTTACAGTTTTAAACAGCTACAATGCCACGGTTTCTCCATACTCTCCTCTTTCAGGTAAAAATTTAGTGAGGTACTATCTCAATCAGAGTTGAATGTACTTGTGCCTCTATACTAATTTCCATTTTAAAACATAAAGCAGTAACCTTAGAAAGAAGTTTTTGAAAATTTATATTATTAGATTTATTTCAATGAATTTAGACATTTGGGAAGTTCTTGGCTAGTGAAACAGCAATACCAAATCACATATATTTTAAACTTTTTTATTGTGGTAAAAATAATGCATAAAATAGAATTTACCATCTCAATCATTTTAAAGTGTACAATTCAGTAATGTTAAGTATATTCACATTGTTATAAAGCAAATCTCTAGAGCTTTTTCACCTTCCAAATCTGAAATCCCCCTTTTCTCCCTCTCCCAGCCCAGGCAGCTACTATTCTACATCCTGTATCTGTGAATCCGACTACCGTGGCTACCTCAGTAAGGTGGAATCACCCAGTACCTGCCTTTTTGGACTACATGACCTGTTTGTTTTATGCTATCACTTAGTATAATGTCCTCAAGTCTAATCTACATCATAGCATGCAAAAGCACTTACTTTTGTTAACATTCTCCATATTGAAGGCCTCAGACATTCGAATGCCTGATTTGGCTACAGCATAAATTCTCCCTTCCTAACACAAAAGAGAGATTGGAAGAGGGTTTTTAAAGCAAAGAAATTATTACCTTCAATACATACATTTTTATTTGTTCTTCATTTAGTATTCCTAGAGTGCAGCATTCTTATACATAAAACACATCCTTGTGAATAATTCTGTAGACATTTCCCCATCCATTAGTCACCCCATTATTTATCTTTGTTCCCAAATTTTGAATTCTTTTGAAGATAAAGAGAACAAGTACAAGAAAGTTTATTCATAAAGCCTGATTCATCTTTAATTTTCTACCATTTTAGAATGTGGTTAAAGAAAAACTTTGAATAGCTTAACCAGAAGTCAGAAACTATTCACAATTGCTGAACACAAATAAATACCTTCTTTAATATTTTACCATTCTGGAACTTGGTTAAAGAAAAAACAAAGTCAGAAATCACAGACAGAGTGGCACTAAATGCTCTCCCCTTCTTATTTCAATGTATACTTCAATCAACCAGTAAAGTCCTCAGGGTCAGATAATAAATGATTTGGAAAACTGGACTGAAATTTGTAATATAATTTTGTTCTGAAGTAGGTTATTTTGTTTTCTCCTCTTCCCTGAGAAAGGTCTCTGACATGGGTACTGGGAAGGCTATTAGCCCTGCCCCTGCCCCATGAGAAAAGGGTCCCTCAGTGGTTCCATAGTCATGGTGTCCTGCATTTTGTAATGGGTCTAAGCTGGGTACAGTTGGCTGGACCGGGGCATAGCAGACTACCAGTGCCATCCTCCTGCAGGCCAGTCAGTGGCCCAAGAGGTAAATGGCAGAAGATCTCTGACACTCAGAGGCACTTTAGACTGAAGAGCAGCTCACTGAATGAGATGCGGTTTCTCTGAGCAGCTAGTTGTAAGACACATACACAGAGACTAAGGGCAGAGTGGGCTGATCACAAAGACTAAAGAAGTAGGACAGTAAGGAGGGGTGAGGCAGTTAGAGGGCAAGGCAGGGTGAGAGGGAGTAGAAAGAGAATCGCTGTAAAGGAGAGCAGCTGATCCTCTGGAGCAGGGGCAATGGGTATCCCTGATCTCTATACAGATGGCCAGAGGTGCTGGTGAATCAGAGGCTATCTCACTACCATCACTATTGTATTCCAACACAAGGGGGAGAGGTTACGTCTTCAAATAAATATTTATTAGTTGAGGTAACCAAAATTCCTTGGAACCTGAAAATAACTCCCAAACACAGAAATAAAACCTCAAATTTGGCCAGTGTCCTGGAAGGCTTTTGAAAAAGAATGTTACTTTTTCAGGTCTGAATTTATTCAGAAGAGAAGCAAGAAAGGCAAAAAAGTAGTAAAATGGTTTGCCAAATAAAACAAACTTGAAAGTCTAACTTAAATTTCTGAAAATCTCAACATAATAAAAATGCAACATTTCAACTTATTACTGCCTGAAGCATAACATAACTGAAATTCCAAAGATTCACATGCAATTAATTTCCATCATTTTTTTTTTTTTTTGCCATACAGAATTTAGCAATAAACTATAGGCAGTTTCATGTAGCTGTTGAAATGAAATCTTCTCTTGAAAGCATATAAAAGCAGATATACCTTATTGTCTGAATTTATACTAGAAAAACACGGCTTCTCTAATTTGCTTAAAATTAGAGCAGTTACTAAATTTAAAATAATAATAATAAAAGAACATGACTCTAAAAGCCAAAAAGTCCACAATCCAGATGTTTCTTCGGAGGCCAATGGTTACATTATGACAATATGTAAAAGAAAACTTTAACCTACAAACTAGACCAATTCACTTTGTTTCAAATACTGGAAGAATTTTTTAAATCTAGCAATATAGACACTCCTAAGAAGTATTACCATTCGATGAGCTAATTACTGTGGTAAAGGTCATTGTTTCCATTAAGTTTTTCTTCTATTCTAGATCTGTAGGAAGATGCTTTGGTTAAAGTAATGATTTATAAGCACAGGAGGAAGAAAATAAAACTTCCCTTGACCCAATCAAGAAAATGACTAAGCTAAAAAAAACCAAACCAAAACAAAACCAGTAGGGGCTGGGGATTTAGCTCAGCGGCAAAGCGCCTGCCTGGCAAGCACAAGGTCATGAGTTTGATTCCTGGTACCAGAAGAAAAACAAAAGAAAAAAAAACAAACCACAAAACCAGTAAGACCAATAAGAATTAAGGGTCCTGGTTCAGAATCACACAAAAGGATTATGGTTAGAAGGAACCCTTCTTCCCCATCCACTAATGTTTCCCTCTTTGTGGAGGGACAGTAATTAAGCGCTCCTAATCTCTCTTCACCCATTCACTTTGTCCTCCATCACACACACAGCCCAGAACTTTCTTCTCTCCTTTCCCACAGATAATAAGCATCTGTCAGGGTCTCCAGATTGTAAGTTTAGAGGAGCACTGTAATGGTTGATACACTGTGTCAATTTGAAGATCAATGAAGCAACTCAGCAGGGAGCCAGGGTCCTCACTTTGTAAACATCCTCATCCTGTGCAAGAGGAGGGCAGGGAGATGGTGTGAGTGCTACACCCACCTTAGGGGTGGCAGCCTGCTTACAATATAAGGGACGAAAAGAGGCTTGCTCTCCCTGACTTTTGCTCTTGCTGCTTTTGCTGTCTTCTGCCACCTTGAACTGTTGCCCCTGTGCCATGCTACCCTGCCTCAGAGCCAGCTGATTACGGACTGAAATCTCCACAGACTGTGAGCTAAATAAACCTTTCTTTCCTTAATTTGGGGTGTCAGGTATTTTGTTTCAGCAATGAGAGAAAAGTAACTAACACAGGCACCATCTCTTTGAAGGAAGCCTGTGATGGTCCAGGGCTGCCTGGGCCTGGGGAACTAATTTTAGCTAATTCCAAAGTTCAGTATTAGAAAGTTCATATGCTCACCAATTTTCTAAAAATCATTTTTATCAGTAAATAAGGTAATTTTTGATTTCCATCTGTCTTCTCAATTGACTTACAACTCAGTGAGTAAAAGAAGGGGAAATTATATTCAGGAATCTGGAAACTGTTGGAACAAAACTGGATTTGAAAAGAAATCGGGAAAAGAAGTGAAACCTAAAAGTGAACGTTGAGAAAGAACCACCATGGATGTGTCCCACACAGGAGTATAATTACCCAAGAGGGAAACCGGTGCAGAGGAGGAGTAGGGGGTTTGCTGCCCGCTGCCTTCTTCGCTGAGTCACAGGTTTCCTGGTCGTCTGAATTCGGCGATTCCAGGGAGTCATAGGAAAATAACCCATCATCACAACTTGTGTCCATAGTCTCCAAAATGTCACTGTCACAGTCCACTAGATCTAGGTCTGTCTCCTGAGGTCTCAGTGGCCGTATCATGCTTATAGCATTTCTGTTTGTACCAAACATCCTGTCAGAGCTTAACTGTGGCTGGCTTAAGTGCCTTTTGGCGAGCGCTACACTTATGCTGAAAACATTAGGGATCCTTAACTTTGGGGGTGGCAGGTGTGATGAGGGCACTAATGCTGCTCCTTTTCCAGGGAGCAAGTTAGGATGCTTTGGAGCTAAGGCAGGAGTTAAAATAGGACTCGGAGTGTTGGTCTCACTAGATGAGGATGAATAATCCAGTGTCTGGGATTGAAATCTTTTACTGAGTTCATCCGACGAACTGTCTTGCTCCTTCTTATTTGATTCACAACTTCCCTTTCCAAGAAGACTATTCTGAGCCTTCCACTGGGCCTCCTGTTGCCAAGAATACAGCTTCTTGTGTTCTGGCCTCTTTATGCCAAAAGTCTCTTCCTCAAATATAGAGCTGCTATCATCAGATGCCGTCAGATACGCCTCGCTCCCCAGCCGGCCACACTGGACACCCTCCTCCGACGTGTGGCTGGAGAGGGTGGATGTGCACCTGGACTTCGGCCTTTCTTTGCTCCCGTCTTCCTCGTCAGAACTCCAGTCACTCACAGGAGCCACAGAATTCTGGGATGTGCCACCATCTGTTGCACAGCTGGTTCTCGTTTTCCGGTTTTGTTCTGAGCTGCAAGGGGCCTGGTGCAATGTTCTCGGGCCTCTGTCGCTTTCTTGAACCTGGTGATCAGCAGACTTCTCTGGAATTTCCACTTTTAGAAAAGGATACATTGTTTTAACATGTTGTCGTTAATAATAAAATCTTTTATTTTATAAATACACTGCAAAGCTTTCAATTTTATGTGAATAAGGTTATACATTACCTTTTGTTAGGCGTGCACCTTTTTAAAACACAAATTTGAACACTCTAAGCTTTATATAAAACACAGAGCCCTAACGCTTCCATATAATTGCATCAAATGAAAATTCTTTTTACAAAGAAATATGTTGGGGAGTAAAATGGATAAGAAAAGAAGCAAAATGTAAAACAGGGCAACTTTGACTATTAGAAAAAGCAGGCTTCCTGGGCATGGTAGTGCACGCCTATAATCTCAGCACTTGCAAGGCTGAGGCAGGAAGACTGCTATGCGTTCCAGGCCAGCCTGGGTTACATAGTGAGTTCAAGGTCAGACTGAGTTACAGAGTAAGACTCTGTCTTAAAACAAATAAATGAAAAAGAAGCCACAAAAAAATCAAAACACTCTTAGTTCAGTTTTAGAAACAAAGAAACATATAACCCTCTTTCCACTACATTTCAAAATTATGATAAAACAGAAGCATAATAAGCACAAAGCTATAGCTTAAAAAACAGAAAAAAAAAATTTTTTTTTTCAAGGAAGCCAAAGCTTTGGTATAAGAAAGTTTAACTGTAAAAAAAAAAAAAAAAGAAAGTTTAACTGTGTTCAACTATTAGTGGGAAAAGATGAAAACGACTTCTTGAAAAAGAAAATTCAAGTAATGGCAAGAAAGTGAGTGGCAAAGCAATTTTCTGATGCCCTTTTTGGAATATCATGACCAGCCATAAAGACAATTTTTAGAGCTATAATTTGTCTCCTTTGAAGAAAGACAACTGGAACTGAAAGTAGGTAAGTTCCCAAACTCAAGTCTCTCTAAAATATTTGGGAAAAGCCAACAAAAAAGATTGTACTACAAGTGTGAAAACCAGCTGCTTCACAACAAAGGAAAACTTAGAGAATTTAAACTGCAAGAAAAAGAGTAGAAATCTGCACACGGGACCAGGGCCTAAACCTTTACACACATATTTACCTCTTTAAAGCAACAAAGATAAATTCAAAACAGTTACTAAGTTATCCCCTGGTGTTAATTTCTTTATAAGTTTGTTAGACAAGAATTAATTTCATGTTTACTGTTTGGTTATTCTAAAATTCTCAATAAATAATGAATAAAAATGCATAGTTCCAATCTGAACTCAGCTAAAATAATTGGAATTTTTTTGGGGCAGGGGGTACTAGGAATTGAACTCACAACCTCACTCTTGCCAGGCAGGCACTGTGCTGCTGAGCTATATTCCCAGCCCTAATAATTATAGAATTGTAAATTTAAAAACTTCAACTATTCCACCTGCTGCAGGAAAAAGTATTAAGAGAGGAGAAACAGTTTTTTTCTTTGCATCATTGACAAAAACCCCAGAAGACACAAAAGAACTAGATACACAAGGTACAATGCAAGGTTCAAAATAACTATAGATACTGCTCTTTAGCTATGTTCTCATAAAGTGTCCAGATGTCAGGAAAAAAATTAAGCTATATTGGATAACTTTTAGAGAATTATTTTTCCTTTTTAAAAAAATGTCAAAGTAAATTGAAATGGTCCATGAGTACCTTCTATGTTTTTTCCTTCGGTGAATTCAGGTTCTTTAGATGATAGCTTAGGTATTTCCTCATATTTTACTATTTGAGGAGGACTCCTTGCTCGAGATAAAAAGCATCCAAATGTCAAACTGCTCAGACGCTGCCCTTCCGAAAGTTTTGGTGTAGTGACAGCAGACTTCTTCCCTTGAGCTTCTGCAAGGTCATTAATCAAAATTAAGATTTCATTTTTGGGGGGCTGGGGATTTAGCTCAGCGGCATAAGTGCCTGCGTGGCAAGCGCAAGGTCGTGAGTTTGGTTCCCGGTACCAGAGAAAAACCAAAAAAAAAAAAAAAAAGATTTCATTTTTCATAGCAATTTGTTGAACATAGAACTGAAGCATATAATAATGTGAACAAATCACTATACCAGAAGTTCATCTTTATACACAGTAACATGGAAGTCTCAGTGCTGAGAATTGAAGGTCTATGCTTAAAATATGTTTTATATATTTTGAATGTTTGAAATATATTTGAATTTAGGGAGAAAAGCATCTAAGCCTTTGAGTAGTAGTTCTCAAACAAAAACAAAAATACAAAACTAAAACCACATTATAAATAACCAGAGAGTTACAGCTTCTTAAAAAGTCAAGGATTGGTAAATATCAACTAAGCACAGATTGAAATTAGTGTGGAAACACCACTAACCGTGAGGAGAAAGGGCCTGCGGGACTGGTTACTAAAACAACCAAAGGAAGCCTAGATTACCACTGGGATGTCGTATGACAACTCTAGTGACTTTTGCTTATCCTAGTTTTCAGTAATGAGGAAAGGCAGACGGAGGGGCTTTGCTTTTGGTGACCACAACAGAGAACCTTAATCACTTATTTAGGAAACATGGGGTGGGGGAATTTAGATAGCTATTCGGGTGATTAGGTCAGCACCTAACCATGAATTTAATTTATCTCTAGGAATTCTGACACAGCTTCTTATTAGATCAAAAGCATGGAGAGCCCAGTAATAAAAGCTTCTGAGGAAATTCTTAACTCTGGGAGAGCACAAAGGGTTAAGCAGCAACTGATAACTGAGTAGAACATAAGTACAGATTAAAAACATTCAGGAAAAAAGATGGCATATATACTGCATCTTTTCTTATTCTTTACTAAACAATACAGCAGTATAAATATTTACACTGTGTCAAGTATAAGTAATCTAGAGATGATTTAAAGTTACAGGCAGATGTGTGTAGGTTGTATGCCATTTTATCTAAGGGACTTGATAGTGAGGTATCTTTTTTTTTAGACAGCGTCTTGCTGTGTAATCCAGGATGGCCTCAAACTCATGGCAATCCTCTTGCCTCAGCCTCCCAAGTGCTGGGATTGCAGGCATGCACCACCATGCCCAGTTATCTAAGGGACTGCATCCTGAGTTTCTGGTATCCACTGGACCCCTGGCACCAATTCCCCCATGGACACTGAGAAACACTGCAAATAATATTTTAAGCTGCATATATTTTTAAAGTACTACGTTATATCATATGTGTGTGTGTGTGTGTGTGTGTGTGTGTGTGTGTCCAAACCTAGTTTCCAAGGATCAATACCTTTTAGTCTATAAAACCTAAGAGGCTGCCAATGAAGACCAGAACTGCAAGCCAAGAATACCAGAGAGTATAAAAATCTTTTTAAGAGTGGACTTAGAACATTCAACCTATTTCAATGAGGGCTAATATCACAAAGCCTTGAAACTTTAATTTTAAATATAGAACTCCAGATCAACTATGGGCATTTATTTTCCCTTATACAGATGAAGGAAGTGGTAGCAAGTAAGTATTAATAAATATGCAGTAGAAAAAATGTCTTATAATCAACTATTATATATACTCCTGCATGAAATCAGAAAAGCACCATTGCCACAAGTTTACTGATGTAAAAAAGTGTTCTGGAGATAAACAGGGATGAAGTCGGATGGCATTAAAGTTGACTTCAAGGCCCATGTTATTCCAACCATACCAGTGTTTTTCCAGTGCATTGGTGAGACCCCAGGGCCTTGTGGAAGTGTTCCAAAGGGAAAAAGAGGCATGACTAAAGCCAAGTGCCAAAGTCTGGACCTCTCACCCAGTACTGATTTTGTACCTGCCTTACTTATCCAGATTCTTCAGGAAAAAATGTAAAGGTTCTGTTGCTAAATGAAGTCTCAATGCCTCTTTCCTGGGTCTTGTGTCCGATAAGCATGACTAACACGTACATCCCTCTGGACTCAGCTCTTCCATTCAGTGTACTCTCGAGTGGCTCTCACTAGAACAGGTACTAAAAACATCACTGTCCAAGGGTAGTTTTACCACTCATCCTTAGGCTTTGAAGTTACATAAGAAGTAACCTCAGTGCATTGGAAAATGCAAAGAATTTATTCATCTCTTAAAATTATGCTCAAAATATTCAGGCTGTAAGAATTTAAATTACTGTAAAAAAACATGATAGAAAGCAAAAGTTGAAAATAACATACCTGATTCTTTTTTAAAGAAAATATACCTGAAGCTAAACATTCAAGTTAGTATTTCTCTTTTCAGGTTATTCACTGATATCCAGCTCTGCTGTCCAATATGGCCAGTAGCAACATACGACTATTTAACTTTCAACCAATTCAAGTTAGGTGAAATTTAAAATCTAGTTCTTCATTTGTGCTAGTTATATTTCAAGTGCTTAATAGTCACATACAACTAGTGACCATCACATTGCATAGTACAAGAGTAGAATATTTCCTTCAAGGCAGAAAGTTCTATTAAAAAGTGTTGATCTATAATTTAAAGACTAAATGTTCAGTTTAACAATATTACCAATTTTTACATTTTGAAAATTGACCTCAGAGCTTGTAAAATATTCTTGTGAATTATTTTAAGAGTGACAAATATTCCTTTGGATTTAAGACTTGTAAGTAGCCAAAGTTATAAAGAACTGTGGAAGTAAGTGTCTTCTTTTTTTTTTTTAATGTTTTTGAGACAAGGTCTCACTATGTAGCTCAGGCTGGCCTTGAACTCACTATTGTACCCCAGACTCACAGCGATCCTTCCGAATGCTGGGAATACAGGCATGTACCACCATGCCCAGCAGTGTCTATTTAAATATGTCAATCTTACTGCTGCTATTCTGCAGTTATTAATAAATTAGCAGTGGACACTCTCACTTGCAGGATTCAAATCCTTATCCAGAAAACCCAAATGGGAAAAGCATTAGAACGTTGGTGACCCAATGAGTTGTGACATTTGACAACTAACCAGGTCAGTCATATAACACACAGAAGTGCTCCTTCATTGCCCTCAGAAAATGCCAAGTTCAGCTGAGCAGGGTGGCACATGCCTGTAATCTCAGCACTCGGGAGGCTGAAGCAGGAGGATTGTTGTGAGTTCAAGGCCAGCCTGGGCTACAAAGTGAGTTCAAGACCACCCTGAACTGCATAGTGAGACCCTGTCTTAAAAAGACCAAAAAAAAAAAAAAAGAGAGAGAGAGATAGAAAATGCCAAGTTCAGTCACAGTCAGTGTGTGAAGTCAAGGAGCTTTCTCCAAAGTCCTCAGTGTAGCTATAATTGTACCATATGCATGACTCCCTGGTCCCTACTTAAAGGGTCTATTCTCTTTCTGGTCAAAGTTCAAACCACCTTACATTTTTGATATATATACTTCAAAGACTTCTAACCTACTATCTGTCTTACTAAGGCCTCTATACTTTTTCAAGAAAACCAGGAGATGTAGCACTACATTGCTGGAAAAGACCAAAATGGCATCATCACCAACAGGGACTGGTACCCACTGCCCATCACCTCTGGCCTTCAGTATGGTTCTAAAAAATGGGACAAATGGAATGTCTTCTAGAACAGAAAGGGGCAAAATAAATATCTGGTCACGTCTTTCTGATGTGTGTAACGGCCGCTTTGGTAAACCTACATGTCACTAGTCCTACCTCTTTTGTCTTCCTCTTTCAGGCCCAACCTTCACTTGAGTGCTGGATGCTGGTTTGTTTAGATATTCTCTTTTATTTCATGGCAATCATTTCTTACATGATGTTCATAATTAAGTCTTTAAAACACCAAAAAAAAGATTGTAAAGGCCTATACAGTCAAATAAATCCAATTAAGCTATCTTAATGACAAAATCTGTACCTTGTAGTTTTGACTGTACTGCTCTTATCTCTTCAGTTTGCTTTTGGTTGATCAAACGAAGATTCTGATTCTCCAATTCTAGCTAAAAGAACACAGTGATATTCTTTTATATAGGGATAACATTCCAAAATGTACTAACAAATTATATTAGTTACAAAATGTTGATATGTCATTATTCCATATGCAGGTAAAATATTAAAAATGACAGATGGATTCATCAGCATAGGCTATGAACCTAAATATCACAGCATTAAGACTTACTTTTCTAGAACCAAAAATTTTAAATGTTTCCACCTCATGCTTTTTTCAGTAAAAGTATTTTAAACCAAAAAGTATTTGAAAGTATTTTAAACCAAAGTATTTCAGATTTTAATCTTTGCTTCTTAAATACTGAGCACACTAATTTTATGATATATGCATGTATGTTCTATAATTATTTAAAATTAACTAAATTAAAATTAACTAATTAGAATGAGACTATCTACACTGAGCAGTATGAGTCTATCAAGGTTTTTATTTTAGAAAAATACAATAAATAGTAAAATGAAAGCTACCTATCCCAAGTTTACTGAAAGAGCAGGACCCACACACCAATCAGAATTTTTTTTTTTTGTCCTTTGGAGACAGGGTCTCACTACGCAGTTCAGGCTGGCCTTGAGCACACTTTGTAGCCCAGGCTGGTCTCAAACTCACAACGATCCTCCTGCCTCAGCCTCCCGAGTGCTGGGATTAGAGGTGTGTGCCACCCCGCCCGGCCAATCAGAATTTTTTGTTTCACTCTGCATTATCATATATTCTGATGACTTATCTATTCCAAAGAAGTAAAAAATAAAGAAAAGGTAAAAATATATAACAATAAATACCTCATTTAATTTTACTGTTACCCATTCTTTGATTTTAGCTGCTTTCTCTTCTATTATTTTAGCTTCTTGTATTCTGATTTGTTTCTGAAATAACATTAGCAGTTTGTTTAGTTCAAACATGACCTCAGTGATCTAGAAATTTTATATCCTAAATATGCAAAGCAAATGTACTTAAAACCTGTGTCCAAGTTAACACACCTGCTTCCAGATTACAAAACATTTTTTAATAGGGAAAAATTATCAAACAAATACAATAAGAAACCAAAAAGGCGAATGCAAGTATCAGTAATTTATCAACTGCTCTTCTCTTTCTCTGATCAATCGTACCCTGAAATAAACCGCTGGCTATATCAACAATCCATGTCTGAAACAGTAGATTAGGGTCAACCGGATTAGGGAGAAAAGAACAAGAATCACTCAGGAGTGTGGTTATTTTCTCTCTCAAACAGTAGCTTTGAAAAGTCCAGCAAAAATCATCATGGACAAACTCCAGCTCTATTTACCAATCTTAAAATGTAGTTGTGGTCACAGAGACTTTTTTTTAAAAAAATGAACAACGTGGGACTGGGGATGTGGCTCAGTGGTACAGCACTTATCTAGCATGCACAAGGCCCTGGGTTCAATCCCCAGCACCACATACACAAAAAAACAACAATGCATATTTAGTAAAATTTGAAAGTGGTCATATTGAAATGATGTTAACTACTTAAGTAAAGAATCATAACGCGATTTTTGTAATAAAATTTAAAATTAAATATTCTTCTGGATCTCAATAAAGTGGTATAAAACAATGAACACATTCTAAGCAGAAAGATTTATGTCAAACATCAATGTCCTATAAACATTTCCAGTATAAAGCAAAGACTGGCTGCAAACATTTTACAGACATTAATGTCGCGGATCAACTGAATGTTTCCAACTTTTTCAACATTACATTTAAATTCTAAAGTTTGATGGTGGCGCCTACTGTGTGCCAGCAATGAGTAAAGCAGGCAGTGGTCTCTGCCCTGGAGATCACCTTCTCGGACAGTAGACAAGAGAGGTGATGTGGCCTCGCAGACAGAGAGCGCTGGGGAGAAGACAGCGGGCAGCTGACGTTCAGGCCTCAGGGACCGGAGAGGGGCCCCGGGACCGTGTCTGATGTACAGCAGGGGAGAAGCTATCTCGATGATGACTCTCCTGTAGCTTCAGCAGTGAGAAGGACAGTGATGCCTCCTCTCACCTTTACTCTAAGGACTGAGTGAGTGAACACGCACGATGATGTCGACCACGCCAGAACTCTTCCGTAAGTGATTACCAGTCCCCTAAGATGTTATTTAAAATCTGTTTTACATCCATTTTTGTTTTGATTTTTAACTTTCATACAGTGATGAAATAAAAGAGATATTTGCAAAAATAAATAAATAAATAAATGCATTCTAAAGTTGAAATGTTAAGAAGCAGTGTCACAATTGAAACGCGTTACATTGCCTGGAACCAGCCTGGACTTCAAGCGAATGCTGTTTCACACCCACCTCTCACCCACACCTGTGAGGAGGCCCAGTAAGTTGACTGGACAAGCAAATTTCTCCTCCAGATTCAGGACTTGAGGCGTTCTCTTTCTAATCTTTGTGTTTTTGGACAAACGGGTGCACACATTTGGAAGACCTTGATGATTACATTTTCCTAACCTGTTCTTCAAGTTGCAGCTCCAAGTTCTGAATAATGTCATCCTTTTCCTGCATGAGAGATTCCAGATCTTGACACTTCTTATATAGTCTCATTTCTGATTCACTGGTTTGAATGTTAGCTGCTTTTAATTTCTCCTCCATAACTTGTACCTAAGTTCAGAGGATAAAACATTAAAATTATGCCCATACTTAATTTATCATACTATTAGGCTTAGAATTTTATTCCTAAAAGGTATCATCATAAAAGGAAAATGTTGACAATTAATGTGTTTAATACTCATAAAGTCTGAAGACCATTTTGCCAGCTTATACTAATCATTAGGCACATAAACAGACATAAGACACTACTGAAATATTACTATCATGTGAAGTAACAGACATTTACCAGAGCAACAATTATATGTACTATTTGTATAGAAACAGCAAGTTCCTGGCCATCATTTTTTCATATTTTAAACAAGGTACTGGGCTGGGGATTTAGCTCAGCGGCAAAGCGCCTGCCTGGCAAGTGCAAGGTCATGAGTTCGGTTCCTGGTACCGGAGAAAAACCAAAAATAAAATAAAATAAAATAAAATAAAATAAAAAACAAGGTACTGAGTGATATGAAATCAGAAAGTGAGTTGTGAGACAAGAGTTAAACCATATGACTTGGTATAATAATGTATTTGGAAGAAAAATTGAATTTGTTTTTTTTTTGGGTTTTTTTGTTTTTTTTTTTAGTTTATTTTTTAGTTTTTTTTCTGGTACTGGGAATCGAACTCACGACCTCACGCTTGCCAGGCAGGCACTGTGCCACTGAGCTAAATCCCCAGCCCCTGAAAAATTGAATTTGGATGAAAAAGAAACATACAGTCAAAAGGAAGAGGGAAACAAAAGAAACAAAGCCCTAAATGACAAAACCATAAAAATAAAACAAAATGAGGGCTCATTAATTCTTTCACTTAACAGATCTTCACTGAGTGCTTGCCAAGTGCCAAGACTCTTCCACATCCTGGGAAGGCATCAGTGAATAAAAGAGATCCAAAAATCTCTATCTGCACAGAAATTACATTCTAGTGGGAAAGAGAGATCACAAACATAATGAACATGCAAACATCATACGTACATTACACAATTGCTAAGTGCAGTGGGAGTGCGGCTGAATGGTATCTAAGATAGAACGGCTCTGTTTGTGTCTTCTGCCAAACACTTTCAGGCATATGAGATCTTAACAGCGAATAACTGCAAATTGTGTTTGCTGACCTACATTGATTACACAAGTTTATTCAACTCAGAGTGAGGTTTAGATTTTACTGCCACCACCTTTTTATCTTTCTGTGAATCACAAACCTGATCCTTGATTGTAAATAGTCTAGCGGAACGGAAGCCTCACCAGAGACTTTACAGGATGGTCTAAATATAAGCGGTGTTGAATGACAGATAGAAAAAAACTATTGGGGACTGTTAAATATTAAAAGGTTTATTCTTTATATTCCAAGTAGGCAAGAATGTAATTTCAGCAATGGCTGAGATTATGGGCCCCAAGAAGAATATAATATGCAAGCATGTGAAATATTAGAGATGACAGTTAAAATGAAAATTCCCAAACTATGAAAAATACTTTTGAAAAATCAAAGTCAATCCTGAAAGTTCTAAATATTTGACTCATGAGAACATTCAGAAAGAAGGCGCGAAGGTTGCTTCAGTTTATTATTTTTCACCATGAATATAAGGTTTCACCTGTGGGCTCACTGTGTAAATATAAATTTAGTCGAGATGCCAAAACTGCTCTGATTACATAGTACCTATATGGCTGAAAACTATGAAGTAAAAGCAGGTCAAAAAATAAGAAAAAAATGATTCCACTATTCAAATGATAATTTCAGTTATTTTAGATTTAGGTTCTTTAACATAATACAATGAGCTTTCTGCATGATCTGAAGGGTAAAGATCTACATCAAAGACAGGTCCATGTCAGACATTTGTCATGAAAAATAGCCCACCTGGAACAGAGAGCTGGACAAGAAATACTAAAGTTCAATCTTAGGACAGTATTTCCATTTACACACAAGATTATTCTGTAGCTGTGAAGGCAGAGAAAATAGACCCCAAGCCCACAATGGTATTCTCCTCTGAGCAAACTCTATTACCTAGAGTAAGAAAAACATTAGTAACTGAATAAGAATACCAATAAATATTATCAGACCTTCATCTATGGTCTCCTTTTATTAATTCAGAGCAATCCACTCTACCAACATTGAATTGCCACATAAAACTGTCCTATTATTACTTAAAAAGGGCCTGTAGTCTTGGACAAGTATGATTTGGAACTAATCAGAAAAACATGTTCAATTTAAAAGCAGTTCTTATTTTATGAATGAATGCTACAAAACTCCTTGGATGCATCTTCCCATCTGAAAATTTAAATTTTACTATCACTTTCAGATAAACAACTTTTCTGGGCAAGAAAAATATTGGCAAGTGTGCAAAACCTCTTAGAAAAAGTGATTACAAAGTCATCACAGGTAACCTACATACCAACTAGCTCTGTTACGACCAAGTGTCAGAGGATTCATCAGCCTCCCTTGGTAAATAGCACAAATAAGAGGGATACAGAAAAGCTAAGAGGCTTGCAGAAAAAGAAAAACAAGTAACCTTTAAAAATATCCTGCCACAGCACATGGAAAATAGCACAGTTCTTTTTCCATTCATTTAATGTGAACCATACAAAATTTGAGCTACTTAGAGACTGACCAATAATAAACACCCATGCATTCAAATTAGTTTAAATAAACTCTTGAAATTATCTACACATGGATACCCTCCAGCATGCAATGTACCACGTTTTTAGGCTACTTTTCTCCTTTACTTCTGGGTAAGTCTCCGCTTGCATCCACTGTGCACACTTCTTAGCCATTTCCTCCAAAACATCTTAATCCTCAAGTCCCTGCATTGTTGGGCACTAAATGGTTTACATAGTAGACTTTAGATGCTCAGATCCTGCAGATGCCAAAGAAAAGACTGACCCTCAGTGGACTTTTAGGAGGCAACTTTTGAGTCCTTAGAATGTCTTGACTGATAAGACTACTTTTTGTATACCTGATGCCATCAGAAAATGTGCATGCTAGTGAATGTCTGTCTTTGTTCACACGGACCCCTGGTCCACACTGACAGTCCTACATGACTGATACCCATTGAAAATCCTGGACACCAAAGCTCAGATAACCTTCTGCATTTGGCAATGCTTCATATCATACATCACCGAGGAGAGGATTAAGTGCATCCTTGTGCAACTCTACTTCAAAAGAGCAAATGGAAACATGTACCTGGGTTCTTCTGGACCTTTTTCTTTTGTTGATTTTAATCTGTATCTCTTCACTGTAATAAACCATAACCACGGACCAGGTTCTCTGGGTCCTATGACTCTTTCTAACAAATCAGTGCATTTGAGAGTAGTTCCGGGACCCTCAACACAGTTTCCAGTACTGTTTCCCATTAACCTGTGCATCCTGGAAAAGCAAGAGCTGCAAGCATTACTTCCATGTGATTGTATATGTTGCTATTTGCTTCTTCCCATCACTCACCTCGTCCCTCTCTCTTCCACTGTAAGTAATAAGGATGCAACTGTACTTTCTTTCTTGTGTAGTACTGGGGGGGTCAAACTGAGTGTCTCACACATACCAGGCAAGCACGGAGCTTTACCCCAAGTCCTTGTGACTATATATTTTAAATAGAGACAGTATCTAGTTCTATGAGTCATCAAAGGAGAAAAGGGAAGGGAAGGGAAGGAGAGTGTAGAACACACAGGGGGACAAATAATATCAGCTATGAATAGAGGTAAAGAGAGATGCCAGTAGGACAGACCGAGGCAGGAAAAGAAGGACAAGGAGACAGAAAGACAAACAGAGGCAGAGTGTGGGGCTCAGTAGGGATACACACGTATGACTCACATCCGTTACAGAAAGCCAGGGGTTTGATACAGAATGACAGAAAATGACATCAGCATTTTCCCTAGAATTTCAGTAACCTTTATGATTTTATCATTGCTGCCTGGTATAGTGTCAGTGGGGCTAGCACTACTTGCTGCTATCAGCTAAAGAATATTCACACAGCCACAGCACAGATCCTCACCATTGCTAGTAGTACTTCTACCACTCCCCTCACTTACTGAGGGCTAACTGCATTGCCAAGCACCTTACTTAAATTAGCGTCTCTCTTCATAATAGCTAACACTTACACAGCACTTCTACACGCCAGGAAATATTCCAAATACTTTACTCAGAGCTACTATTCACCTTCCACAAAGTCCTATGACATAGGCATTAGATTATAGCACATTTTACAGATAGAAAGATGAGGCCCAAATCAAATAGGCAATGAGAGGGAAGCAGATATTGAACTAAGCGGGTTGGCTCCAGCTCTACCAATATTAGCTCTTTTTGTAAGTGACAAAATTGAGGCTCAAACTAAGAAACTTCTTCAGTTAAATAAGTTGTAGACTTGGGGTTTAAACCCAGTAAAAAAAAAAAAATTAAGACAGAGAAACATAAAGTCATTGTTATTTTCCTTAGTACAGACATTACGTTGCCAACCCTTGTCCCCATATCCTTCCTCATTCCTCTCCCTCAAAGAAATAGAGAAAGAAAAAGCTATTCACTTCAAACACCAGCCTTTAATTTCATGTGTTTAGAACACCAACGTAGGCAAATGGCAGTAATTGTACTCTAGGCGCTCTGGAGAAGAGCGGGGTTAGAATTAATCTTGGAATCTGCCTTGTCCAGTTTTATGGGGAGCAACCAGAACTATCTTGGATTAGCTTCCCCGGCTATGTCTAACATTCACTTTCTCCCATTTTACTCAATGGGGCATTTTGCAGTAAAAACAAAACAAAACAAAAAACTTGTTTATTTTTCTAGGCAGGGATCACTGTTACATATCAGAAGCTAAGTTCTCCTCAAGATAGCTTTGAATTGTGGAAATGGTATGTTTTGTGCACATGTATCTGTTAAACCAATGAAGAAAATTTATCCTGGGATTCTCCTCAATATTAACATGGTCAGAATGGCTAAAATTAAACAGAACAATGTCAAGTGTTGCTAAGTAGAAGTGGAACAAAACTGGAATTCACATATACTGCCAGGATATTTGTCAGCTTCCTCATCACTGAGACACAATACCCAATACTCACAACTTACAGAAGAAAGGTTTAATCTGGCCCATGGATTCAGGAGATTTAATATGTGGTCAGCATGCTCCATGGCAGAGACATCATGGTGGAAGGGCATGGCGCAGCAAAGCTGCTTAGTTAATGGTGGCCAGGAAGCACAGTAGGAGAAAGGTGTCAGAGAAGAAGAGGAAGGTACTATATACAGTACCCAAGGTCATACCACTATGTTCCACCTGGACACACTGCACAGTGTTTTCTACTACTTTGCTAGGCATTTCCTAATCCAATGAAGTTGACATATCAGGATTAAAAGTCACACTCCACCCCTTGTCAGCCCATAGGAATACAGTCTGGTACACCCTCTCTGGGAAACTATTGGCCAACATTTAGTAAACATTTGCCAACCTCAGGGGCTGGGGATTTAGCTCAGTGGCACAGTGCCTGCCTGGTAAGCGCAAGGTCGTGAGTTCGATTCCTGGTACTGGAAAAAAAGGAAAAAACAAAAATAGAACATTTGCCAACCTCTGAACCAGCAATTCTGCTCCTAGGTGCATACCCAAGAAAAATAAGAACACATATCCACCAAAATGTAAATATATTCACTTAGCTTTGTTCATAAGAGACCCAAACTGAACATGAGCCATATAAATGGATAAAAACTGAGGTATTGTCACAATGAAATACTCGTCAGCAATAAAAAAAATGCTGATACTCACACATCAGTATAGATGAATTTCCTAGATATAATGTTGAACAAAAGAAGCCAATACACCAAAGAGTATGTTCACCAAGAACAGCCAAACTAATCTATGATGACAGATGTGAGAATACTTGTTACCTTCAGTCGAACAAAGGTGCTAACTGAGAGGAAGCATGAGAGAATCTTTGGGAGCAATAAAATGTTCTATTTCTTGATTTAGAGGAAAATGTACACGTATGTATACTCAAGTTTAGTACATTTGATGGCTATGTACGTTGTATCTTGATTTAGAAAAGTAATAACTACAAATAAATTGCAGTAAATCAAAATTTTTTTCAGAAATAAAAAGAAATGCACTAGCAAGACATGAAAAGTCATGGAGGGATCTTAATGTATATTATTAAGTGAGAAAAAAAGCACTATGAACAGACTATTTACTGTATGAATCTAACTATATAACACTCTGGGAAAGGCTTCTGCCCATGGACATAGTAAGAAGATCAGTGGTTCCTAGACAGTTAGGAGCAGGAAAAGATGATCAGGTTGAACATGAAAGCATTTTAGGACAGTGAGGCTGTTCTGTATGTTAACACAGTGGTAGGTAAGTATCATTATACATTTGTCAAAACCTATAGGTCATAAAAGCATTGAGGGTGAACCCTAACGTTACCCAAGGACTTTAGTGGTAACAATGTGTTGATTCTGGTTCATCAGTTGTAACAAATATATCACCTTGGTATAGGCTGGTGGCAGTGGTGCAAGGGAGATTGCATGTATGGGAGGGGAGAGGGCACATGAACTGAGTAATTTCTGCTCAGTTTTGCTATATGTAAAACTACCCTAAAATAAAGTGTATCTATTGAAAAACAATTACCTTCCTAAAGATATAATTGATCAAAACAAGACCATCAATGTCTATTAATATACACATTGTAAAAAGCTAATTAGACATTTTATCCCTTCTAATAGGAGTGTATAGTAATACCCAAGAAACCATCTAGGAGGAGCACAAAAAACAGTAAGAAACAAGGAAAAGAAAAAAGTTCGTGTGATAACACCATAGGAATGCAATCAGCAAAATCCAGAATGTAGAAAACTCGAAAGGACAAATTAACCCAATTTTTTCAACAAATAAATTGAAAAAAAAAACAAAGTTAAAAAGGAGGAATGGAAGAAAGGGTAAGTGACCCAATAATTAAAGACTTTAACAATCAAATGAAATGTGTCAACCTACTTTAGATCCTAATTTGAACAAACCAACTATTAAAAACAAGAAAAGTAAAACAAAAAAAAAAGCCAGGCATGATGGTACATGACTATAATCTCAGGATTTGTGAGGATCACCATGAGTTTGAGGACAGCCTAGACTACCTAGTGAGCTCCAGGCCAGCCTAAACCACATAGCAAGACCCTGTCTCAAAAAACCAAATAAACAAATAGGAAAAATGGTACATAAATAAAAGAATTAAAAACAGGTACTTAAGCAGATACATGCAGATGCCTGTTCACAGCAGTACTAATCACAATAGCCAAAATGTGGAAGCAACTCAAATGTCCACGGGTAGATGAAGGGATAACCAAATTGTGATTTACATGCTACGACATGAATGAACCTCAAAAATGCGAGAAACAAAAGGTTACATATTATATGAATCCATCAATAAGAGATACCCAGAATAGTAAATCCAAAGAAACAGAAAAGAGACTGGTGGTTGTCAAGGCGTGGCTTGGGAAGGGTGGGGAAATGGGACACACTTAATGGGCACAGGGTTTCCTTCTCAGATGACGGAGGTACTCTGGAATTAGAGATGGTGGTTGTACAGCATGTGAACTGTTCACTTTAGGTAATTTGATGTTATGCGAATTTCACCTCAACTAAAAGCTAAAAAAGAAGGAATTCTGAAGGGTTTGGGGAAATCTGAATATGTACTGACTAGATCTTTGATATATGAAGAATTACTGGTGATTTTTTGGTATGCTGATGGTACTTTGAATATGTTTTTTAAGAGTCCTTTCAGATTAGTTGCTGAAATTTCACTCATGGGTGAAATTATATGATGTCTGGGATTTGCTTCAAAGTAATCCAGCTGGCGGTGTAGCTGAGGGGAAAGTGGGTGGAGCTACAGACAAACCGTGAGTTAGCTAACTGTTGAAGATGGGGGTTCATTATGCAATATTCCCCGCTCATATATGTGGCTGCACAATAGAGTTTTAAAATGTCAAGTACAATTAAGAAAATCTAGGATTAGGTTAGATTGTGCTCATTTAGAAATTTGTCAGGTCTCTCAATCTACTGTGTGAAATTAGTCTTCCAGGTAAAAACAAGATTCAGTAGCAGGCAGGTTTAAAAAGAAAAAACATGACAAACTTAGAGGGGGTAGAAACAATTTAATAATCACTTCTTAGAAGAAAGAATTTTGTGGGGCTGGGGATTTAGCTCAGAGGCAAAGCGCCTGCCTGGCAAGCACAAGGTTGTGAGTTCAGTTCCCGGTACCAGAGAAAAACCAAAAAAAAAAAAAAAAAACAAAAACAGAGTTTTATGTTTTAAGCCTTTGGAAATTCTTTATTCAACTGTATATGACAGAGATCTTTTCACAACATGAGAAGCCATGGATTTAAGCTCGTTAGATACACTTTAATGCTGACTATGCAGTTCAAACCAATCATTTTACTACTGGCAAGGCCCAGAAAGGTTAAGTGACTTATCAAAACATCACCCCCTGCCAAAAAAAAGTAGTACAAAAAAGCTAGAAAGTATGAAAAATATAGGGAAAAATTATTCCAAAATTTGGGGGTGCCTCCTGTTACCCTTAAAAAAACCCTTAGGTTTGACTTTCCTTCTTCACAAATATTAACATATGAAGTACACAGTTCTGTATATGGTTTTCCTAATTTAATTTGAAGCATTTTAACATATTAATATATACCTTGTTGGTAACAATTATTTTTAATGGAGTTGTAAAAATGGTATTGATATAGTTCATTTATTTCTCTGTATCATGGCATTCATACTATCTCCCATTATTATAAATAAATCTGTTATAAATATATTAATATATAAAATTTCACTATGGTTAGGATAGAAAATTAAAGCCATTTTTTCCTTTTGAAACTGTGTTAGTGGGCAAAATAGAGTCTCTGTTCTAAAGATAAAACTCAAGAATAGTTAAAATGATAGAATGTAGAGAAGGTCTCACAACAATCCTCCTGTTTTAGCAAAACAATCTTTATATGGGTAGAGGCAGAAAAAAATTTAACTAAAATTATACGCTACCTGTTGAAAAGCTTTTCCTGCTTGACGTTCAGCATCAATAACTTGTCTCTCAAGTTGCTGCATCTGTAAGGTGAAGGAAAATATAAAAAGTACAAAAATTGATATTTCGCTCTGGAAAATACTTCAAATCTCCCAATGTTATCAATTTTTAAATAATGTGATTCACTGGAAATGAGTTACATACAATTAACACATTAAAGGCTCTATGCATATTTAAAAACTGATGAAGCAAGCTGGGGGCGTGGTGGTGCACACCTGTAATCCCAGCCTTCAGGAGGTTGAGGCAGGAGAACAACCCGAGTTTGAGGCCAGCCTGGGCTAAACAGTGATTTCCCAGCTAGCCTGGCCTGCGTAGTGAGACCACGTCTCAAAAACCAAACAAAAATCACCACGGCTTGGGGAAGTGATTATTTTCATAAACTCCACAGATGAAACGTTTCGGTCATCTAGGGATTTTTACATTCAGATAGAGAGCTGGAAAGAGTAATAGAAGAGACTCTCTAAACACACATACACTTACAGACACACAAATACCAAAGTGAGTACTAGAAGTAAAAATGTTAAAGCCGTTAGAGGACCCACTGCTAACATAAAGAACGTGTACCAAATGTTGAATGCACAAGCCAAGAAGTAAAACTCAGTTTCCATTTCATTATTGTCAGTGAAGTATGGCCAGTTTTACAGCCATCTGTGCCTGGATCCGTGCTCACTTTCTCTCCGCGGGCTGGTAGTCCGCCGCCCGGAGCTTCTACAACACCTCCAGCCCCTAGTAGGCGCTGGCCAAACGGGAGGACCGACGCCCGGCCGGGCCCAGCCCCTTTTCAACACCACCGAGAAGCGGCCTCCTGCAGCTAGAGTGGCCCAGCGCCCGGGGCGGGCGGGCGTTCTACACCCCGGGGCCACAGAGACGGCCCCAGGTTTCCCTAGATCCGCTCACAGCGCCCTGGCCTGAGAAATGGTTTCCGCTCCTCGGGCATCATTTCTTATGGGTATGTTGATTGGGAGCATTTCCTGGGCTTTGGTAACTAATCTTACCCAAATCCACATTCGACTCGGGGGTCAGACTCGAGACCACAAACACCGTCCCCTTAGGCCACCTAACGGAAAAGAGGTCTTCAGGCTCTCACAAGTGACACGCGCGGAACTCAGCAGAAGTGTACGCGTTGTTTGCATCATCCTCAGAGGACCCGAAGACGACAGCTACTGGACTACGCTGAGGGAGACTTGGCCCAAACACTGCGACCAGGCAGAGCCCTACGGGGCGAAGAGCGATCGTTTGTCCAATGCAGGAAGAGATGACAGGTGGGAACACATGAGGGACACTTACAAAGACGTCTTTGAGAAGTACGGGGACAGCTTCAAGTGGTACTTCCTGGCACTTCCCACCACGTTCGCGGTCATTGAAAATTTGAAGTACTTCCTGCTGACCAAGGATGCAGCGCAGCCTTTCTATCTGGGCCACACCGCTACCTCTGGAGACCTCGAGTACGTGACCGTGGAAGGCGGAATTGTCTTAAGTGTAGAGTCGCTGAGGAGGTTCCACGGGCTTCTCAATCAGTACGACGTGTGTGCGAATCGAAGCGTGATTTGGAATTTATCCTTCGATAAGCGGCTGGCAATCTGCCTGAGATACGCCGGTGTTTTTGCAGAACACGCGGAGGATTACGAAGGGAGAGATGTATTTAATACAAAACCAATTGTAGATCTTATTCAAGAGGCGATGCGTAATAACCCTCAGCAAGTGGTAAAAGGCTGCTGTTCTGATATCGCTATTACTTTTAATGGACTGACTCCCCAAAAGATGGAAGTAATGATGTATGGCGTCTACCGGCTCAGGGCATTTGGACATTATTTCAATGACACACTGGTGTTCTTGCCTCCAAATGGTTCAGAAAATGACTGAAGGATGGCAAATACCAGGACGGTGCTGTTCAAGGACACCTGAAATGTGACTAGTCCAAATTAACATGTGATGTGAATGCGAAATGCACACTTCATTCAATAACACCTCATTATTAGAAGCCTGGATAGTATGAAAGTGTAAAACATCTGGAGTCTGGAGTAATTTTTTATGCTGACTCCACATTGAAATATTTTGGATATGTTGCATTAAATTACCATTAAAGTTAATTTCATCTGTTTCTTTTTCATTTGATTCATATGTCCATTAGCAAAGGTTAAATTACATAGGTAGCTCTCACAGTATATTTCTATTGGACAATAAAGATTTAGAACATCTGTTGTTTTTACCTCTAACAATTTAACTGTAAATATGACAGTACTTTTTAAAAGGCAGTTTATTGTGGGGATCTAGATTCTGGAAGAAGTTTTAAATAGTCCTAGCCTGGCTTGAGCAACTCAGACCCTGTTTCAAAATTAAAAAAAAAAAAAAATTATAAAGGACCTGAGAATGTAGCTCAGTGCAAAGGCTCTGTGTTCAATCTCTAGTACCAAAAGAGAGAGGGAGAAAAAAAGGTAGAGAGCGAGAGAGGGGGAGAGAAAGAGAGAGAGACAGAGACAGAGACAGAGAGAGAGAGAGAGAGAAATATGTATTTCTTAAGCATTCTCTGGACCTTGTATCATTAATTTTTGTAAAATACTTCAAGTGTTTAATAAACAATATTGCTTAAAAGCATTTTAAGTTATTGTGTACACTGGGCACTATGAAGAAGCAATTGGACAAGCATTGTATCTCTTGGATGTCTCTAGGATATTCCTTAAACCAAAAAGCCTATTATCGTCCGAGCAGATGCATTCTATGGCCACATTCTTCCACTACTGTCAACATGCTGACAATTGTCACCTTCACGCTGTTAACTACATTCTATTTTCAGAAGAATTTTGTTGTTCTGGAGCCTAAAACAACTTTTGGGTTGGGATTGCCAGGATAAACAGAAAAATCCACAAAATTTTGTTAGTGAAAAAAAAGCAGGTTTTTTTTAAAGGAAAAAAAAAAACAACTGCAAGTCTCTTGTCTGATTTCACCTTCTGAATATTTGGTTTCTAACCCGGGCATGGTGGTGCACACCTGTAATCCCAGCACTCAGGAGGCTGAGGCAGGAGGATCACTTCAAGTTCAAGGCCAGCCTGAACTGCATAGTGAGGCCCTGTCTCAAAAAGACAAAAAAAAATTTGGTTTCTAATATAACAAGAAGGGTAGAAGTCTGTTTGATTTACTGTTATATACCCAACAACATATCTTTATACATAGTAGGTATTCCATACATTCTAAATTATTAATAAATGACAAAGCTCCATCATCTGTAAATCACCATGTATATATGGATAGTACCATTATTTTTACCACTGCCAAATAACTTTATTTCTAATCCTTTGGCACTAACTTTTTTCTTTTTTACTATTTTCCCAATGACACTGTAAACTGCTTGGAAGAATCATGTGTGAGACCATATCTTGCACATACCAGTCACTCAATAAAATTCTAAAAGTTGCCAGCTTTAATAGCCCAGATCTGTAATCTCAGCTACTCATGAAGTTGATTGCAAGTTCAAGGCCAGCCTAGGCAACCTAGTGAAACCCAGTCTCAAAATAAAATTTTGAAGAAGAGCCAAGGAATGTAGTTCAGCAGCATAGTCCATAAAGATCCTGGGTTTGAGCCTCGGAACCATTTAAGGAAAAAAAGAAAAATTCTAAAAGCTCAGTACTGATCAGTGACCTTGCTACAAAAATCATTATTTCTATCAGTTAAAAAAGCATTACACACAAATATACACAGCATTTCTACAAACAGTACCTTGATAAACAAGGATAAATTTGTTGCCAGGCATTAAAATTATACACTTGTGCCTCTGACAGCAAAGAGTTGTTATGGCTTAGATTTCAGGTGTTCCCCCAAAGCCTCAAGTGGACGTGGGGTCTGGTCAGAAAAGGTAGATTACTGGAGATACAATATTGAAGGGTGTAACTCCTTCCCTGGCTCTTTCCCTTCTCTCTCTGCTTCCTGCCATCACCGTGACATGAGCAGCTTCTCTGCCAGACCTTGCACCATGCCATTTCTGCCTTGCAGCCACCGGATCAGAGACTGTAACTGAGAGACAAAGTAAACCTCCCTTAAGTTGTGTCAGCTATAATGTCCCAATGATGAGAATGTGACTAAGACTGATTTTGGTACCAGTGAGGTGGGCTGTTGCTGTGATCATCTGACCATGAGGTTCAGAAGCCCCTGGAGGTGTTTTGAGAAAGAGTCTGGAAAGGTTTGGGGATGCCACTGAGAAAAGCTTCATGGGAGATTCTGGTCAGACCACAGAATACCAGAACGCTCGTAATGCAGACAGTAAAGACCAGGCTCAAGAGGTTTCATCTGGAAAAGTACCCCACTGGCTGCTGGACTCAAGGTCATGTGTTGTGTTCTGGCAGAAAATTTGTGTATAAACTGCCTGTGTCTTGAGGAGACTACGGGAGGCTGAGATTAAGGCGGTGGACAAATTAATCTGACAAACAAAATTTTAAGTCTACCACATCAGGATGTGGCGTAGAAAATTCTGGCTGCTTTCAGACAGGTTTATAGTGAGAATCAGAGCAAAAAGTCCATTTAAAAAGTTTTCAGTTTTGCCAGAAAGGAAACACCTGTAAAGTTGAAGAAAAGAGCATGGCTGCTTGAAAGATTAGCATTACAAGAAGCCAGGAACTCTGCATCATTTACGATAGCAAAGATACATTGAGGACATCTCACAAATCCCCAAGACTCCAGCCTTCAAGGGCTCAGGGGTGCAAAAGGCTTTCATTTGAAAAGAGTCCCAGGGCACCCCGCTCAAGAAGGGCTGTCTAGGGCATTGATCCCCAGGGATTCATTTCATAGTGTTTAGCCATTCAGGCACTCAGAGGCTGCTGCAGCTATGATCCAAGGGGGCCTAGCTACTGCTCAAACTGACAGCAGACCTCAGTATCATCCACCTGGTGCTGGTTTTATGGGCACATAGAATGCAAGAGTTACGGTTAGTGAGGCTTCCACTCAGATTTTAGAGGCTTCCACCCAGATTTCAGAAGGCCTGGGAGGCTAGGCAGTGTGCCCCTGAGCGGTCAGTGTATGGAACAGTTAGAATGAAGACAAAAGTGCAGTAGAGACCCCAGGAAGTTGGAGAAGCCAGGAACTTGACATGTCTCAAAAAAGCCATAGGTGGTGAGCAAAGCCACTCCAAGACAGCCCTTGAGGGCCATAATCAGCAATGCCATATGAGCAAGGCCACACAATCCCTTTGAAGTTCACATCTTGCCACAACTTGCCCCAGATTCTAGACAAAAACTACAGGATTTAATGTTTGCTCTACTAGGTTTTGGTCTTGCTTTGTTCTATTTCTTTCTGTCCTCCACTTCTACCTTCTGGAATGGGAATGTTTAGGGCCACTGTATATTAGAATTGTTTAACTTTCTTTTTTGATTTTTTAAAAAAGGGACTCATGGCTAAGAGTTTGCCTTGAGTCTCACAGGTGATTTTAGACTTGGACTTTTTAGCAATAATGGAACTCTTGAAAATTTGGTGACTCTCAGAGATGGACTAAATGCATTTTTCATAAAGAGATGTGCATGAGTCTTTTGGGGCCAGGGGCAAAATGTTACAGTTTAGATCTAGGGTGGCCCCCCAAAACCTCAAATGTTTGAAAGATGTTGGTGATGAGTTCATAGCTGAGTTGCTATTAGAAGGTGAGATCTGCCTGGCAGAGATGGGAGTCTGAGGCACGGCCTGGAAGGGTGTATTTCTCACCCTCCCAGTTCCTCCCTGCTTCCTGGTCACTATGATGTAAGCAGCTTTTCTCTGCTAGACCCTTTCATCATCTCATTTCTGTCTTGGAGGCAGGTAACCAGAGAATGTAACTGTGAGACAAAATAAACTTCTTTAAGTTTGTGCCTCAGCAATGAGAACGTAACTTAAGAGAGGAATTAAATAAAACCACTGATTCAAAAAGTCACTTTTGCTTTTTTTTAATTAAGAAAAGGGCATTGTCCTTAATACAGGCAAAAGTGGAAAGAGCACTGCACTTGGAGTCAAGAAGACCTAAATTAAGACCCAGATTCCACTACTCATTAGGAGTGTGATAATGGGTAAGTTACTTAAGTTCTCTGGCTCTCCACTGCTTGTCTGGAATATGAAATCTGGAATTGTCTGGAATATTTGTTTTACAGTATTTATGTGATGACTGAGTAGGAAAGCACCAGCATGGTATCTAACACGTAACAGATGTTCAAGTGATATTATGCAGAAAAATTTAATGCAACATATTTCTACCATTTGCATGTATTACTTTATGAATAACTTTAACTTGGGAAAATTTAGTTTAAAATGAACACAAATTCACGTGATCTAAGTTTTAGTTCTTTCTCTACTGCTCACCAACAGTTCACCACTGGTTTCTAAGACTTTTATATATAAAATGAGAAGAATATAAACTTTGCTCTAACTACCTTATATCACATTGTAAGGCCAAAATTGTGGTTTTTTTTTTTTGGTTTTTCTCCGGTACCGGGATCTGAACTCACGACCTTGCGCTTGCCAGGCAGGCGCTTTTGCCGCTGAGCTAAATCCCCAGCCCCAAAATTGTTAAAAACACATAAAAGTAATGTAAAAATTTACTGGTATTTCATGAGTTAAAAACAGTGGTAATATTTATAATATTATAATTTTCATGATAAAAATGGGCCACTGAGTTGGAGGGGTACTTGTGGTAGAACATTTACACAGCATGAACAAAGCTCTGGGTTTGACTCCCACCACAGGGGAAAAAAAAGTCACATCTAAAAATGAGGCTTTCTAGATATATAAATAATGGCACATCCATGGAAGTAGAAACCATACAGTCATTACAAATGTGCACAGATGGGTGAAACATACTTGGGATTTGCTTTAATATAACACAGGAAAGGAGAAGTGGATCAGCATACAGATATAAGAGGATTAGTCCTGAGCTGATAACCATTAAAGCTGGATAACGCACGGTTGTGAGCTCATTAAAATATTCTGTTTACTTCTATTTGTTTGAAAATCTCTCCAATAAAAAATTTAAGTACATATGAAAAGACAGAAATAACATATTTAAATGCAAATTCAAATTATATATAGAATGATAACCTATGCAAAAGATATTTGGTGGGAAAAGATCATAAAGCACTAATGA